CATGATTAAACAACAGTGTAAGTGTAGGAAGCAATGGAGTGGTTTTCAGAGTTTACTTATGAGTTTACTGATGGGGAGCACCAGTGACCTATGATGGGAGCAGTGTTGCTCACAGGGAGCGCAGTGCAAGGGGGTAAAGCTTGCTGCTGCTTTGCACAATTAGTCAGGGTGGGTTGCAGAAAATTTTCAGAAGGATCTCTTGACACTGAATGACTCTGCAGCAAATTGCAGTTGAAATGTGAGATCAATGAAGGCAAAATAATGCACATGCAGGAGAAAAAAGCTAACAAGTTTGGACTTTGTATTATCATTTAACATCTAGGAAAGAGATCTTTGGATAATTAAAGAGAGCAGTGCAGAAAGTATGATGACACCACTGATGAGCTTCTGGTGCAGCCAGATGTTGAATATTTGTTCTAGTTCTGCCAATCCCACCTCAAAAAAGTTATAATTGAGCTAGAAAACCTTGACAAAGATAGAACAGTTTCAGGATTAGCAGAAGTCTAAGTCTAGGCTGCTTCCACTCGGGGTGTGTGTGTGAATGAAAGGGTACATGAAGAGATTCATAAAATCACAGAAGGTGTAGAGAGGCAAGTGATTACTCGCTGTTACTCACAATATGATACAGCAATTGAATTATCAGTCAGAATTTTAAAAACAGACAGAAGGAAGTACTTTACATTGCCCATAATTAAATTGTATAGCTCATTACATAGCCTGCTGTGGAGACCAAGACTATAAATGGGTTCAGGGAAGGACCAACACATTCCTAGAGTAAAGAGCCATTACAGGCTATTAAGCGCAAAGGTCTGGAAGCAGCCGCCAGCTCAGGAAGTCCTTAAACTACTGATTACTGGAAACTGGGACTGGAGTATGTCAGGGGAAGGATCACCCCATTTGTGCCAGTGCTTCTCTAAACACCTGCTGCTGAATGTTGTTAGAAATGGCTTGCTGCACCAGACAGATTATTTAATATGACTGAAGGTGGCTCCTTTTATATCAAATGCAAAAAATATGGGAATCGATGTTGCAGTGAAATAATGGTTGCCCTGGGGTCAGCTCAAAAGGTGAACAGTACCTACCTAGAAGTCAAGCTAGGAGCAGCGAGTTGCAGGGACACAGTGCAGTCAGCAGAGATGCATGGGGAAAACTTAATGCCAGAGATTAGCCAGTACATTTTCTTCATTGCATTCATAAGCACCAAACTGCAGGAGTGAAAAGCAGCTCGAAACAAACTCAGGTGCATATAATTTGTTCATACAGAGTACAGGTGCTGTCTGGCCTTGTACAGGGATTTTCAAGTTGTGATTGGCAAAGCTGAGAGCTGGCAAGTGTAGGGTTTATCTACATAGAATATTCACAGAAATTCAAAGCTGTTGTGACTTAAACTTCATTATACAAATGACTGTCCCTTTCTCTGTAAACATGTAGATTAACTTTGAGAAAAGGCTCCCAGTAACCTCTCTCCAAGCAGATGTCATAGCCATGGGATCTATGGAAGCCAGTCTCTGCATTTTTACATTCTCTCAATCCTGCAGCTGAAAGACTACCCCAATGGGAATTTATGCTTCTATGCAAGGGAGGTAATATCCCCACCTTTAGAAAGGTAGCAACTCCAACACCAGTGACAACAAAAATGAAAGTCAAAGCTGTTAACCACATTCAGCACTAACTTACGCTTTCTCTTCCAAATAGATTTTTTTCTAGCACTTACATGAGTTGCATCCTATTGACTAATTGTTGTGATCTTTGAGGGTTCAGGTAAAACTATGGAGTCTAAACAACTCACTGGAGTATATTTATATGCCTTCAGTGGAGGAAAAGGCTCAGTAAAGCCAAAGGCTGGGATATAAACTCAAATCTCCCCTGATAAAATATGTATCCTTTGATCTAATAAGTAGGTTGAGTCTCGCCTGACTTTTCAGCAAAATGCAAATCTAATGCTTTTAAAAAAAAGTCAGTTAGTGTAGTTGAATAGCTTGAATGTTTGATTGCTTTTGATTTTCAATCAGTCAACTGCTCTGTTAAAGAATTTCCGTAGTGGTATCAGCTGTGGAATTAGTGTCAGATATATTTGTTTGTTGTATATTCAGTGACATAGACATTAATGTTTACTCATGGTTGTTCACAATGGTGATGTGTTAGCTAAGTTCATAATAACATCCACCACAAATTATTGATTACTGGATATGAAAAAGTAATTATCAAAATAGAGCTGATTATTTATGATGCAATATTTCCTAGCTGTTGGTTGCTACATCAGCAAGCTGGCTACTGTGCCCATTTTAACAAAGTTGTGGACTTCATAGTCTGAAGAATGGAATATATCATGAAACCACAGATGCACTTTTTATGGCTGTCTCTTATCAGGGGAACTGTGATTACTTTTGCTTCTATGGGAAAGGGTGACTGTCAAGCCTGTGTTCTCATTCATGCACTCAGCACAGTGGAGATGAAATTGCTGGGAAAGATAACTAAAAGCCAACCATGTTACCTTGCTATTGGAAAAGTGACAGGTGGTGAAATCTGTTATTTAAAGTAATATGAGATACGATCACCTGGTTACTCAGCATCTGTTATCAGATTTGTGCTACCTTCCCTTTCCCCCCATTTTTCCCCTCTCTTGTCTGTCTTACACTTATTAGAATGCCATGTGCTTGCTGTTTAGCTTGACCTCCTTTTTTAATGGGAAAGGCTTCTGGGGTGCATGCAGTGTGTTTTGGCACTCTGTGTGTCTGTTATGAGACAAAGTTCTGATAAGAAGTGATCTAATAATATGTATTTTTAGCGTGCTCCTGGGCCTTAGGGTCACTTCTGGCTGGCTCATGCAAATTTGCAATCCCTGAGATCATTTTAAGGCTTTTATGTTAAAACAGACCTGAAAAAAATAAAGGTGTTGCTGTCATGCCTGTGGTTTGTGTGCTTTCCAGGCAAAGCCGTAAATCCAGCTTGGCATGCAGAGGAAGGGCAGGCTGTTGGCACAAAACCGTGCCAGGTCTCCCCCAAAAGGCTCATCAGCCTCAGCTTGCTCTTAAAGAAATGTGGGCCAAGTCTCAGGTTCAGCTGTGGGAGGCTTGCACATCTCTAATTCTGACTTGAAATAGCATCCAAGGCTTGATGCTGAGGTATCTGTAGCCATTCATTAGGCATATTTACCTTCCTCTGTTGTGAGGGCAGTAGGTTTGCTTTACCCCTGTCAGTGATGCAGAGTGGAAAATGTGATACTGCCCTATTTCCACCCAAATAAATTATCATGTTATAAAACCACAAATAGACACAAGAATGTACTCTTTTGTTCAGGAAACCTGAATAACTACACTGATACTGAAAACAGCGTGGAAGGAGACTACCAAATATTGGAAGTTTTCCTGAAAAATATGTTTTTAAAAAATATTTTGAGTTTCTTGTGGTTTATTTCTCTAAGACCTTAATCTAGTCATTGAGATGAGTGGCTTATGTTGTACTGATATATTTGGCATAAAATCTTTCTTGCTAAATTGTTTCCTCCTGATACAGTGTCAGGTGGTAAAAGTCTTTTCCTTGGTCTTTTTCTCTCTACTGGGTTTCTGTCAAATGCAAAATATCTTGGAAGAAACCCTTAATGTCAGTGTCTTGCCTGCTTTAAAAAGAAAGGGGGCATTGAATGATCAGAGGCTGATGTTAATGTTCTGAGTTGTTCATGCTACCCACAGGAAGGGGGATTTAAGAGATTCTGATTCAGTTCTCTCGGTTTTTCCAGAATTGCACTGAGAGCAGTGAGGCTTCCAAGCTCCTTTACTGTGGATATGTATCGCACTGTATATTTTCAGGACAATGAAAAGATTTATTTAGCATATGGCTGACCTGGATTGTCTCCACTGGCTCAATTGACCTTTATTGCCTTGGGACAGTGGTAAGATTAGGAGATGCTATAAATAGCTGTTGCACTGCTGTGGGAGTGGTATCACAAAAATGCACTTTACACAAACAGACTGTCATTTCACTTTGTGGGGGATGTGTGTATTTGGCTTACAAAGGGAGATATCTCCCTGAGATGATTTTTGTCCTCTTCTGAATCACTGCAGCTGAAGCGATGAGATTATTTTGACCATTGCCACCAGGTTCTAATATATACAATGCAATAATGTTAAGAAGCTTTAGGAAACTGACTGTTCACGTGCTGCTGAGCTTTGTATTGGCAGTGTACTGTGCTTCCACCTTATGGCTCACTGTTGGAGGCAGCTCTGTCAGGACTGGATGCCTCTAGGGAGACAGGCAGCGGATACGCCCTCAGTGCTGTGCAGCCAGCATCAGAAGGGTTTCGGGTCACTATCTCTGACTTCTGAAGGAGGCCACATCTATGCCTTCAGAGCTGTGAGATAAAATTGAAATATAAGTGGAAAGAAGCTGTAATACCTTGGGGGATGCTGATAGGATCAAAGAAGGTAGTAGTGTATGATTCCTCTTCCTGGTGAACTGGTGTCCCCGTGTCTTGTTTTACATAGTTGGATGCTGAATGAATGACTTTTTCTAGTCTATAAACTAGGTAAAAGCAACAAGTGTTACATTCTTTGTATAAACTCATATTTCATTCCTCCTATAAAAGGTGTTTGAATCAATTTATGCATAATTCCAGCAGATTCAGTTGGTGTGTAAGGAATAGGTGTAATGCATGAGGACTCCACAGAAACTGGCAAACATAACCATATACAGTCCACTGGGCTTGATATTTCAGCTTAGTGCCAAATGAGTAACTGATCTTCATTAAACAGTAATTTCCAGTGATCATATTACTTTATTCTTTTCCTAAACTGCTTTAGCAGAAGATGGCATTCAAGCACCATTTCACTGAGGCTGAAATGAGATGCAGTGCTACCTCTTCTGATTTCTGGAGAAGGGTGGGGTGGATGTTGGGTAATTATATTGGAGATATATATATATGTTATGTATACACTCCATGTATACACTCCATTTATTTGTGTGTTGTTTTTTTTTTTTCTTTTTTTCTTTTCAACTTGCAGGAAGGCAATCTCCAGGTCAGGCCTCCAGCACTTGGCTCCTGTGCATTCCCTCAACATTGCAGTCTCCAATGGACCAGTGAAGGAACCAAGGGCGGCCTTAGAGTGGACTGTAGGTATTTGGGTTTTTGGCAGTTAATTTGAACAGTATCTCTAGTTAGTGCTCTCTCCATCATTGCATCAACGTAAGACATTGTGTTGCTGTCAGAATTATTGCTAGTCATTAGGAACATGTTTCTACTATGAACTGAAGCACAAGGCAGAGAGATGAAAACTTGTGGGGACTTGAGCTACACAGGACAGAGCTGTTCAGATTTTCCATCTTGGAAGCTGCCTGACTACATTTGCTCACTTCCCTCTTGAAAAAGTCTGCCATCAAAGGTTGATCTTATTTTAGCAAAGCAGGGTTTTGTTCCTCTGCTCAATGGGCCAAGGTTTAAGGCTGAAGACTCATGTCAAGTTGGCTGTGTCTGTAGAGTAGGTAACTGAAATCTTTGGCTGCAATTCTTTGTAGGTATGGCTAGATTTCTTCTGAGCCCAAACTGGTGTGTAAACACAGAGATCATGTTTCCATCCCTCCTGCTTTGCTTCTTTTGTGTTTCTGGGCTGACCACTTCAGGGCTGACCAAAAGTTAAAGCAGGTTATTAGGGCAATTGTCCAAATGTCTTTTAAAGACTGGCAAGCATGAGGCATCTGCCTCCTCCCCAAGAAGGCTGTTCCAGGGTCTGACCATGCTCTCTGTTTCCTCATGTCAAGTCTGTGCCTCCCCTGGCACAGCTTTGAACCATCCCCACACACATTCCATGTGGTTGTGCACTGGTACGAGCTAAGAAGGTGAGTTGTAAGCCAGCAGGTCACACAAATGACCCATTTAAAACAAAGCATACATTAGATTTTACACTGAGCTACTGGTGAAGAACTTGGTGCATTGCAGTACTAAGGCACCAACCACCCAAGTGGCTTTTAGGTGAAGATAACGTTTGATTTGATGAATATGGCTTATGTTTATCTTTGTTCTATATACCAAAACTGAATGGTTTTCTAGATTGCTTGCTCTCCTTCAACCCCAGCTGTTGCACTCAAAGTTTAAGGGGATGAAATTTTACAGGTTGTGTTGCAGGAAGTTGGATTAGATTCACTAGGATGTTCTGCAGTTTGAAAACTTGTATAGAATCCTCTTTGAAGTGCTTTGGAGAATACCTTGATCTTTCATTCCCAAAAACCCAACTGCTGATTCAGCAAGGTAGTAAAAATGTCTGTTTTAAGTCATTGCTGCTGTTAGTAGAAATCTGAAGGATCAGTCACATAAGTGAAGGGTTAGGCACATTAGGCTAAGTTAAACTCATTTCAAAATTGTGCTTATAAAAAACCAAGAGTAACAAAATGCCAGAACAAAAACCCTGAACCCCAAGTCCAACAATCACAGCTTGCCCTTTGTCAAAGTCAATTGTCTGCTACTCCTTTTACCAGATGGTTCCTCTTATGATCCTAATACATAAATACTGCAAGATTTGCTATTAGTTGGTAAATATTGATTAAATATTGTGGGTTCTAATTGTGTTTGTGTGGTGTTTTTGCACTTTACTTCCTGGCTTATGGTTTAGATTTTTGATCAGTTCAATTTCTTAGCAGTTTACAGCCTCTCCGGTTGGTGTTGCTGCTTTACTTCACACTTTATTGGAGAAGGGAGACAACCCTGTGGCATATGGGGAAAAGGGACAGGATAGTGAGTGGCAGACATCTGTGACTGTGAGGAGCCTGAACTGACCAGCTACAGTAACTGGTAAATGAGAGAAAGGTATTTCTTGAATCTGTGGCACAGTTAATGTAAAAGAGATAACAGGGAGGTGGTTTGGAGATGTGGGGAGGTTGAGATGGGCCAAAATTTTATAACAGGTAGTGAATTTCAATAAAGAAAAAACCCTAAATTTTAAATTATTTTAAGTCCAAAGGCGTATGTAGTAGAGGGAAAAGATGTTTCGATTAAGATATGTCAGAGGCAGACAAGAAATCTTCATATTTAGTCACTGGAAGGCAACATTGATCAGTATGTGTTGGATTCCCATCTATTCCATCCTGCTCTTAAGTATTTCTGAGGATGATTGTCCAAGGACCCGTGATGGGAGATCTTTCCAAAGTCTAAACGACGTAAGCATAAATTGTCACTTGACTTAGCAGGGAGGAAACATTTTCTCCTGCAGTCTTCACAGTAATAACTGGAAAGAATTCCCTGGCCATTGCCTTCATTTTTGAGAACTCCCGGCAGGTGATTTGTCATTATCAGATGGTCTTGTGAACAGGACACTGATTCAGAGAGTGGGGTTTCCATTCTCTGCTCTGTCACTTACCTTGTGAGTGAGCTCAGATGAATTGTTTTGCCTCTCAGTACATCAGCCACTCTAGCTGTAAGATAGAGGTGATGATTCTCATGTCCCTTAAGACCTTTTACAGAAAAAACAGTATTCTTTATTATTGTTGTTGCTACTATCTGTCTTCCCTGAGGTTTCTTTTCTCTGGCATAACTGCAAGTATCCAGTTTCATCACATTTGTTACACTTAATTCAAGTTAACTTGTAGTTTTGCTGTATAATTTAATGGTATCTTTTCACACCAGGGTAATACAGACTATATTTTCTGGAATAGGTGATATTATAGCTAGAGGGGAGTGCAGAGTATGCCTTACCAAAAAAGAACCAACTTAAATGACTGTTCCTGTGATATGTTTATGCATATCCCCTTCTCCCACCCGTGCCCATTTTAGACATCACTCCCATATGTTAATAATAAAGTAAGTAATTCTAGACCAGATTCTCAAGTAAGTACAGGCTGAGCCACCTCATACAGTGCCTTTGTACCCCCGAGGATCTAGATCTTTGTGTATTTTTCTACTGCCCTTTACTACAAAGGAATATTACTGTAAGTTAGCACACAAAGTCCTCCTCTAATTTCCTTTTAAGTACTGCCTTCTAGCTCCTGCTTTTTTTGGTGCCTACAAAAATATTGATAGCCACGAGGATACTAGTGTGTTGAAGTTCCCACTAGCCAAAAATACATTTTTTTTTTGTTTTGTTTGTTTGTTCATAGTGCATTTTTTCTGTTGATGTCCATTTCTTGTCTTCTCCTGTGACACGATGACTTAGAACCCTGGTTATATCTCGTAAGTGGCATTTGAAGATATGCAGCTTTCATTCTTGGAGGTCAATGAAAAAACTTGACTGATCCATGCTTTGTGTTCTGTGAATGCACAATCAGAGTTCCCTGGGTGCAAGTTGAATGTTTATTATAACCTTATACCATACATTATATGTATAAAAAACAAAGCCAAAAATCTTATAGATGTTAACAAACCCAGAAAACTGTATGTTGGAGTAGAAGTTGAAAAGTGGCATTTAGCAAGATGTGGAATCAGGTTTAGCTCAGGAGGGTTGTAGAAGGCACCACCCGATTCCACACAGATGGAGTAAGGAAAGCCAGACCTCATCTAGGGTAGAATCTAACAGGAAGAGGAAGGGCAACAAGAATGGGTTCTGTAGGTATATAAACAGTGGTAGGAACAATAGGAAAAATGTTGGATTGCTCCTGAATGGGGCAGGAAATGCGGTGCGGATGATCAGGGTAGGGAATACTTAGACTGAATATACCAAAGTCCATGGGACCTGATGAGATGCACACAAAAGTGCTGAGGGAGCTGGCTGATATCACTGCAAGGACAGTCTGCTGCCTTTGAAAGGTCATGATGGTCAGAGGAGGTTCCTGAGGACTTCAACAAAGCAAATATCAATTCTGCCTTTGAGAAGGTCACGGAGGATCCAGGGATCTCCATACTGATCAGCCTTACCCTGATTCCTGTGAAGGTGATGGAGCAAATCCTTTTGGAAGTAATTTCCAAAAATAGTAAGAATAAGAAGTGATTGAGAGTAGCCAGCATTGACTTGTGGAGGGGACACCATACCTGACCAACCTAACAGACCTCTATAATTATATTACTGACTTGGTAGATGAGGGGAGAGCAATGGCTTTTATGTTGACTTTTGCAAGATTTTTGACACTATCTTCCATAACATCCTTGTGGAAAAACTGATGAGGTATTGGCTAGATAAATAGACAGTGAGGTGACCTGTTTCAGTGAGGTATTTGTAATAAGTGAACGTGACTTTGCAATGAATCTGTTGCATTATATTCTGTGTCTTTTTGACGTTAATCAGTAGTTCTGTCCACTTACTTTCGTGGACAGTAGGTGTTTGGAAGTGCCTAGTGATATGTTATACTTTGGATAATTAACATGTGTGCTAATGCAGTAATCCATGTTTTACATATGATGAAACAGGTTCCCTCAATCTAGATAAATTTATTTATTTTCCCCATGAATGGTTTGGCTTCCGCCAATCATAAGTTCCTAAAAGCTATACTAACTTTTACACTGAAGGATACTTCCCTTCCATTAGAGTATCTGCAAGACTAAGTTTTGTATTTGGGAACTGAGTATTCAGTTGAAAAGAAATGTACATTATCAGATCACTCATGAGAAAAGGAGATCCCTGGGATGTGGGTATTCCATTAGTCACATAAAAACATGTGGAAGTGGTAAGAATTCTAGTTCCACGTAAGTAAGTTGTGATGAGTGCAAACTCCATGCATACTTAAAAATTGCTGAATTTTTTTGTGTGGATGGCACAGGCTGTGTTCTGGATAAGTAGTTCTACTTTGCTGTTTATTTTTCATGAAGATTTGAGAATATTCTTTCCAGAGATATCTAAACAGAAAAAAGGTCTGTCATATTTCAAAATAGTGGCCATAGCTTTTTATTTTTCCAGTGGTATTGAGGACACAGCGATAATGCAGAAGATGCCCTACCTGAAACTAAGTATTTTTCCCGTTGCTGAAGGAAAGCTGTTATCAGACAAAATAATGGTTCATAAGGACATAGGGAATCATCATCTCAGTTGATAGCATCTGGACATTGCTCCTCCATGAAGACAAATGTTGTTATTCTGCTTCCGTATACAGATTGTCTCTCAGATGATGGTTGTGAGGATCTCAAAAGCTCAGAAGAGAATACAGGGTGATTCATGCAGAGATGTTGGTGGGGGAAAGGAGAATGGCAGAAAAAGGAAGAGAATGTGGCGAACCAAGACCTAGAAACTGAACACCCAAAAATTCTGAAAGTCGCAACCTACATATTTTCATGTTTTTTTGAAGTAACATTGTAGTACCATAAGTCTGTGCTGTTTTATTGTATTCTATGTCCACGTATTACATTTGTAACAACTAAAAAATTGGTGACTTCTATGTGAAAAATATTCCCAAATTAAAATTTGCTAAGGTGGAGTTAAAATTGAGAATGTGTATCAACAGAAAAATCTTTGAGAAATTGTTGCTCTTTGCAACATGAGTTATTACAAAGTCTGGAATTTCAGAGTTGAGTTTGAAACACAAATCAAACATGACAGAAAGACATCCAAAGACAAAAGACATCCAAACAAATTTGTTTCTGCTCAATAACCACCTCATAAAGAAAAGGGCTAAAGCTAATAATTTTTGCTCACAAATATGTTTAATTAAGTTTAGATTGATGAGCACTACTTCTATACTAATCATAAGTATCACCCAAATGCTTATTTCCAAGAAGATTCATCTCTCTTGCTGGAATGTTAACAAAGGGAAAATTTTCTTAATGGCTTATTTTAGAAATCTGTCATGTATTATTTTGCAGAATGTCAGTCAAGGCAGGAGTGGAGGGGAGCTCCATTCTTCCTGTTACAATTGGAGTTATGACTCTTTTGAACTGGAAGTTTGGGCTGGCTGGTTTATTTGTTTGTCTGAATAGCTATAGCTGCTTGACATGGCAAATTAAACAGTCAGGTCTATCTGCAGTGGTTTTGAAACAATGCTGACTGCAGCCTGAAGAACAGTCAGGTATGGAGATACTTGAGGGCTTTAGAAAAATGGTAAATCATGTTCTGTCATTTAACTATGCTGGAGCACTCACAGAAACCCAGTTGAATTAGTGAAATGTGCACAGCAAGTTATGAACACGAGCATGTAATTACACCGTTCCCAAGCTCCTAGTCCTTCAATTCTTATTTCCACTTCACGGGGGATTGTGGGTGGGTGTTGTTTCATATGTTTGCTATACTGAAACTATTTTTGTTTGCTATTAAGGTGGTAACAGATCAGGAGCAATCAAATGGGAGGTCTCCATCTGGGGGAGCATATTGAGTTCATGTGTCCCCTGTGAGGCAGGCTGCATCTGCCAGGAAAGCACTGCTGTCTCTACTTCAGTGAGCAGGGGCTCTTTTTCTTCCCAGGACACTGAGTTCACACACTTGTGAAGGCTGGGAAGCCAGGCGAGGAAAGAGAGTTCCCACTTTTCTTTTTAACACCAAAATATTAGGCTGCAGTCATTTCTGTTTTATCCACAATGATGGATAAAATCCATTTCCACGTAGCAAGTCAAAGCAAAACACATCAGCCTGAAAGTATGATTTGACAGGTCAGCTAAGCTGCCCTAGCACTCAGCTGGTACCGAAAGCATCAGTTCCACTGAACCCGTCTTTAACCCACCCCTCCTTGTGTCAGATCCAGCAGTTATGTGGTCACAGGGTGAGTCATTTTGTCTAGCTGATTTGGTGGATAAGGTATCTATTTCTTTGCATTCTGTGTGTAGCTTTACAGCCACCACATTTGGCATGAGGAAAATGGCAAGGGCATGAGACTGAGGTTGTGGGTTCAGGGACAGAAGGAGAATGACTGCCTCTTTAGAAGCCATTAACTAATAAAGCCAACATAGACACATCAAGTAAAAAAATAAACCAAAATCGCAAATTTTTCATGGAAAAAAAACCCTCTGTATCAAAATATACAAGTGATGACAGAGCCTTTACTGTGGTTTAGCTTTGTGTTAAACAGGAGCTCACACTAGAGGTGATCCCATGGACCTCTGTCAGCTTATGTGTTGGTGGATGGAGAAGAGTACCCTTTCATCCATCATGTTGTGGAATACTGCCTGTAAATTTTGCAGCAGAAAATACTGTTTTGTTGAAGTCAAAGGTCTTCATAGCAATGTATTGATTTTTGTAAAAAATTTCTGTCAGAATTGAATGAAAAGTTTGGCTTAGAAAAGGTCAAAGCATTTTCCTCTGACTATATCATCTTGATTTTCATATGTGGCAACAGAATATCTCATCGTATAAATGACAGAGCCCTGTAAAATTTAAAACAGCAAAGTTCAAATAATTCCCTTTGATCTTATTGAGACAAATTAATAGACAGGAAAAGATTTTCGAGGGAGGGCATTTCATCTTGGGAAGTCTCAGGTTTTGCTCTGATTCACGATAAAAGATTTTTCCAATGTGAGTTTGCTGGAATTGAAATTGAGTTTTTACACACAGTGCTGTGAAATTGTTTGTGGCAGTAGGTATCTGGAGGTATTCCCCTCATACCGGGGGGGGGGTTATTTACGTTTTTGTTACCTAGTAGTGTCAGAACTCTATCATAGCATGAACTACAAAGTTCATCCTTGTAGACTACTTCCTAATTTTATTTACATGGTGATGTAAAGTTGGACATGTAAATTTATGATACAGTCTGGAACAACAGAGAACAACCTCAATCAGTCTAAACTAGGTTATGGAAATAGACCACTTCATCTTTAGAAATCCTGATGGTAAGTTATGTGGATGTTGTCCGAATGAAGGGGTGTTTAATCTATTTTTTAAAGTAATTTTTATTCCTTGTTTAAAATTATGTTCCAGGAGCTGTGTGCTTTCTCACTTAGCTTTCGGACTTGATCTTTCGTAAACATCTTTTATAATCTACAGAATTTACCTCTGAGTTGTAATCTTTGCACTGTTTTGTCAGCAGAGAACATGCTCAGGTCAAGCACTCCGATGAGCTCATATCCTGCTGCTTTGGTCCTCTTGTCTCACTCCTCAAGAGCTAGAGAGGATGTTAATATATTGGGCAATACTGTGGGCATAGTAATTTTATTAGTATGTGACAAGGCCTCCATGATGTGCTGTAAATCCAAGATAGTTCTTACCAGAGAAAATAGCTGTAATGCAAGGATAAACATGAGAGAAAGAGTTCACAATCTGAGTAATTTACCCTCTAAGAAAGATTTGAAGGATTTTTTAAGCTAGTACAAGTTTTTAGAAGCTATTTTGCATTATAAAAGTGTTGAGAAGACCCACCTAAACTATTGTGCTCTGATCTGCACAGTTTAGGAAACTCTCTGTCCCAGGGCATCTGCAGTTCAAGTGGATAGACAGACAAAAGCATGATAAGAAATGGAGGTATAGAACACTGTGCCATCAAATGAAGATTAATCAGGATGCAATGGCAGTAGATTGGAATCCCAGTGTCACTCTCACCTGGGCCCTTGTGCTGAGGGATAATACTGAGTCTGACACCAATGGGAACATTTCCGATGAAATTAGAAGACCTGTAGTCAGATAGACCTCTCACTAGGAAAAACACCAGTGTTGGTCTTGTCCTCTTAGTTTATTTGAAGTGAACACCAGAGTTGTGGTAGAACCATGTGCAGACTTGCACATGTCCTGGCTGTTGTGGATGCATGCATACCCTAGAGAACAGAGGATTTTGCCACTTCTGCTTTTCTCCATTACCTAAGAAATCCACATGGCAAGAGAAGTTTTCTCATTTTATCACTTTGAAACTGTCAGTGGTATTTTAAATAAATTATTTTATCCAAGATGGCTATTTCAGAGCATCCTGCTGTCGGACGCCATCTGTTTGGTAAGCGTCATCATTTGTGACTTCTGCAGTGTGGGAACCAAATGTCAGACTGTCAAAGCATTTTCTATCATGCTCTAATTCTGGCTGAACAGAAATCCTATTTATTGACTTTGCTCAAGTAGTGTACAGTAGACTTTTAGGCTTTTTAGTCATGCCAGGATTACAGTCAATTGAAGATCATGGTCTATCTACAACCAAATTTCCTTAGAACAAGAATTTTTATGGAATTAAAGTACAAATTGGATCAAATGAGGCTGTCAAGGCAAAGTCAGATATCACCCAGTTGATCACTCCTAATTGTCAGTGTGCTCAGTTGAATGAATTATTCTTTCATATGTAAAGTCTGGTCTCTCCTGGCGGCTTAATGGTTTGTTGATGTATTCACAAACATAGTGTTGATCCAGCCATTTTAAATAAAGCATTTTCCCATGACTAAATTATCCCATCCTCCTAAAGCTATAGTCGGTGTGTTATTTTCCACTCCTGGGCCCAGTTCTCAAATTTTTGGACCTCTCCACTTGAAAGTTCAGTAGCTGTGTTTTTGTTTCATCTCTCTTGATTTTCTGTTTCTTTAAAATTCTGTGTATATCTCATGCTTACAAAATCTAAATTACCAGTTAAACTATGCAGCATGTGGGAAGAACATCGGTAAAGTTTCACTGAACAGTGCACAAAAATACTTTGGTTGCAATTGGTGGCACATCATTTTATCATCAACATCCTTTAAGCAGAGGTGGCCAGCCAGGTAATACTGTTATGTGCTATGGCTCTGTGTTGTAGAAAACCAAAACAACACCTAATGGTGTGGTGGTCGTTTTTCATTTCTTTTTTCTATAGTTTATTTTAGTTTTCAAAATTTGTGTTGCAGATCAGACCTTTTTTTCCCCCCCCCTCTCCCCTCTCTATACTCACATGGCTGAATTTCACAAAACAGATTAACAATCATCTTTTCTCAGGAAAATGCTGTGAATGGAGAGCATCTGTGGCTAGAGACAAATGTTTCTGGGGACCTCTGCTACCTGGGGGAGGAAAGCTGCCAAGTCAAATTCTCAGTGAGTTATTTCAGATTTCTTTTTTCTCTTTCTGAGGTAACAAGCCTGACTTCGGATTGAAGCAGTGCTCAGTTGCTTGGGAGCTTGAATTGTTTACCTGTGTTCCAGAAGGAATACAAAAGGGGCAAAAGGCTACTGTTAAAGACTTCATTGCTTGGGGAAAAAAACCCCAAACAATTTTGAGTGACCCAGATTATTTACACAGTGAGAGTGTGTGTAATCAACAGCTTTAAGAGAAAAGAAATTAGAATATCGAGATATTTCAGAAATGTTCAAAGAAACTAGTCTATTTTACACAAACACATACACAAATATATCACTTATTGCAGTCTCTGAGAGTACGGTCTGATCAAATTTTTGTGATTTTAATCACTGCAAGGATTTTAACTGAATTTTCCAAACTCCTGAGTGCACTCACCAGCAGTGAGTGAACTCATATTCTATTTGAGAATATTCAAGATTAACCTTCTCCTATTGAAACTTCTCTGCTGTGTATGAAAACGTTTCATTGGATTGATCTCAAACCCGTGTGTGTCTCTGACTGGGAAGTCACTTCCAGTCTCCTCCAGGGGCACTTCCCTTAGTGTTTCAGTTAAATTACTTCACCAAAAGAGAAGAAAAAAACCAAACCTCCTTTATTTTGATATTTAGGAAGCCACCATCTTTTTGCTTTTATTTAAAAAAATCCACATTTTAGAGCATTTAATTCAAATCAAAGCCTTTTGATTTACTAACCACCCTGAGTTTTTGGGGCACTTCGATCCCAAATATCAGTGCTTTGTGTAGCACAAATTTAATATCCATCTCCTGAAACTTCTCAAGTGAATTGGTTACTTTATGGAATATAACAGTAAGACCAAGCCAGAGAAGTCTATGCCTTCTTCAGAATTCCAAGGCGAAGTCCCAACAAACTGCTGATTGTTGGTAATATTCAAGGGAGGTGTCACTGTGTGTTTGCCTATTGGTCCTGAGGCACTGGGATTTGGTGAAAGCTGGAGACAGGACTTGTTTGGTTGAGTGGACCTTTGGTATGATGATTCTGATGTTCTTAATAGAAGTTTGCCTTTCTAAAACTGAGTAACTAGTTCCTCATGATTTAACTCATTGAAAGTAGAGTGGAAATTTAGTAATATGTTGCATATGATTTGCAAGGTTGTGTCTTCTCGATAAACACAGAGATAAAAAACATACTTGAAGTTATCAAGTCACAAAACATGTGAAAGCTGTCTGCTATACAATGTCATGGTTCTTCAGATGAAAGATTATAACACCCCTCTACATACATGTGAATATGTACAGTTAGGGTGTATCTAGATAATTATGAGAATCAGTAAAATTATTATAATTATTCCATAATATGAACTGAAGCTGTGTTCCCTATTCCTTCTTGAGCTTATTTAAATATGTTGAAAACTCTAAAGAAATAATTTATTAGAGATTTAAATGGACATGAATAAACTGAATGCAAAAATCTGAAGAAAAGAAATCTCAACTCACTGTGTATTTATAAATCTTCTGTCCCTAAAGAACAAGTCTGTAAGTTAAATTTCTATGTAAATTAATTCCACCTGATTAATTAAATTGAGTTTGTGGAAGTAAAATAAGTCAATATATTCTCTCTTCTGGATGCATTCTCTTGCCTTTGATATGCCTTGGCCCAGGGGAGTCGATGGAAATTATTTTAAAAGCCCTACTGAAATTAATAAAACTAACCAGCATAATTGAGAATTTTGTCCCTGCTGTAACATATCATAAGCATTCAAAAGCATTCTCTGAGAATTTTATCATTCTCTGCTAAATGACCCAAGTACCCAAGTATTTTCCTGCAAGTCAGTGGCTAGGCCTGTCAAATTAGTATTAGTTATTAATAAGTAAATATTATATGATAAGCATGAAGTGACCTACTCTTGTGAACTGATTGGAGTTCTGTGATTTGCATGTGTAATTTTTCACTGGCTCTGCTCGTCATCTTCATAGGATGCTGCCCTTTATAGTGATGCTCTGGCAGTGTTAACAACCTGATCTGCTACCCGAAGGGAAACTTTTACTTCTAGTTCACGAGCTGGAGTACTGTGGCTGTCTTTTTAAGAAAGTTCAGTTTTTAACTGAAAGAGCTTCAGACCTTTTTTATTTATTTATTTACTTTTCGGTGCACAGCACAGTTGAGAGCACCAAGAGAGCAAAAAGAAAAAAAAAAAAGTGTATGTTGCATGAGGAGAGAAACATCTCTTGTTTCACAGCTAACTTTCTTTTCCCTCCTGGGCATACCGCACGTCTCCCTTTCCTCTTGCAGAAATCCGCTCTGCGGAGGAAGTGTGCTGCCTGCAAGATTGTGGTCCACAATGCCTGCATGGAGCAGTTAGAGAAGGTAAGACATTGCCATCTTCTGGAGCATACCATAGCCAACACTCTTTTAATTCTTTTTTCTGAGATTTCAACCTGGAAAACACTATGCCAAATTAAGTTTTCATTGCTGTTTAAACAACGCACTTGTTAAAAAAAAAATTACTTAAAATTCCAGCTTTTTTTTTTTTAAAGTGTATTTCTTTGAACTTCATGAACCATAAAAAACCCCAAAACAACGAAATCCAAAAGTAAACCAAGAACAAAAATTACAGAATGTTTTCACAGTTCTAATGTTTAAAAAATAAATTCCCTCTACTTCTAGATTAAAAATTGAAGCTAGAAAATGGAGTATCCTGTCATGTACAAAATTGGCCTTTCAAAATTTCCCAACTGAAACCAGCATAATTTATTGTATGACAGCAATATTTATTATGAGCAATGCAGCATAAGATGCTACTGTGAACATTTTCCCCTGTATTTACTAGACTCTACTGTTTTCTCTTCAAAACTTCAGAAATTAAATTCTTGTCTGTTAAATGGAAAACATCAACCCTTTCCTTTATAGTGTCATTTCTGCTAGTGTCTCTCCTGCTTCTCATTTCCTTCAAGGATCCCTCATCACACCCAAGCACCTATAGAATATCTGTCACTGACTTCAGTCTTCCCATCAGTGATTTGTCTTCATTATGACTAATTGGAAATGTGCTAAAGAAATCTCGCCCCACCATTTTAATTCCTGGTGTGATATGTGTAAAGAAATATGTGTGGGAATTTCCCCATTGCTTTCATTAGAGCTTCATTTTCACTCCTGTATGTTTAGCTGTGTTGTTCTTCATAAAAGAAACTGATGCATAACAAATTTATAGCAGCAACTCTTTGGAAAGTGTATTTTCCTTTCTGAGTACTTGGACTCATGTTGACAAATGCCACAGTGATTACCATAAAACCAGGTTGGAGAGGTACCACTTCCACCCCCAATGCTTTTATCCACAGTGGAATTAGCGTTAGCACATGCTTTCAGCACAAAATGTTACCAGTGAATTTTTCATGACTTCCTCCATCAGCAGCAGTGCTGACTCTCTATAGCCCAGTGAGCTGGTGGCATTGCCAGACAGAGCAAATGAGCACTTAGATAAAAAACCCTTGCTGTTGAGCTTGTTTATGACATTTTGGAGACCATGAAATCCATTTCTTGGCAGAGGGTTGTTATAAAGTCTGCATCCCTCTTAAACTCTGTGGAGTTTAAAGCTGGTACATAAGTCTTCTTCTTGGCCCTTTCTGCAAAGGTGCAAGTTGTAAGCAAAATAAAATATAAATATAAGCTGGGTGTCTTTCCAACCTGCCATGACTGAGCAATGAAACACCAAATTGCAATTCCAGGTGAAGAGCAGTGAAAGAACAGTGATGTAACAATGTCTTTCATTTCTTTTTAAGTAATAGGTATTTTGTTTACTTATTTCTTTGAAGGCTTTTGTTGTGTTTTTTTTTTAATTTATTTTTTTTTATTCCCTAGAGCTATTATTTTGAAGACTGTTATTAAATGAGGGAAGAACTTATTTATCTGGGGAGAGTTGTATTTAAATTTGGAGAAACTTGATCCCTCTACCTTCATAACAGAGGCATAACTGTGCATTATTCTTAAATGTTTTATTCTTTGAAGGATAGTCAGCTTAAGCTTGAATCTATTTCGTCTAGTACATCCTTACTTCATGTATCCTTTGGTCTTTTCCAAGGCCTCTCTCTTCCTCAGTATATTTTTTCCCTTTCTATGTCCCACCCATTCCACTCCTACTGATTTTCTTTTCTCAAAACTTTTTCTTTCTTTTTCATAGGACTTCTTTCTTTTTTAATAATTTTTTTTTTTCTCTCCACCTTTCTGAAAATGTTTTCCATTCATGAAAACTCCCGTTATCCTCTTTGTCTTTCCCATCTGAAGCTGGAAATACCACTGCACGAGGCAGTACAATGCTCCCCAAATGGTTTGTGGTTGGGGAGGTGAATGAAAACATCCTGATCTAATGAAAAGGTAGAAATTTATGGTAATTTACATGATTCTTTATCTGAATGATGATTTCTCTGCAGATTTTGTTTATGAAGGTATAAAGATGGGATGTGCGAAAAAGGTCTTACAAAGTTAGATTTCTAGCACCTACTAACTTTTGAGACCTCAGCTGAAGTCTGCATTTGTTTGCAAATGATCTTCAGAAAAACAAAACAAATGAAACAACTTTCTTCTAGAGGGAGGAGGTGGTTTAAATAGTTGAACTGAGCAGGCAGAAATAGCATTAGTGAAGATGAGGGCTCTGTAGAGGTCTAGGAAGGAGAATTAATATGGCATAAGAAGAGATATTTTTTTCTGACATCCAGATTAGTTATTTTTTTTCACCTAGTGAAGCTAATATTTTAATAGATAATAAATATTTTGGAAGTCTGACCTAGATAATAATACTGGAGCAAATTGTGTCTTAGCTCACTTGAAGTTCTAACAGTTTTATTTCAATGCCAGATTAATTTTCGCTGCAAACCGACTTTCCGAGAAGGAGGATCCAGATCTCCAAGAGAAGTAAGTAATGGATAAATGATGATCAGTTTTCATTTTACATGTGTGCTGATCCACCTGGTATGGTGCTGCTAAAGTGCTTTTAGATTCAGAGGACTTTTACATGTTGGTTCCCAGTGGAACATGTTCTCCTCGCCAGAATAAATGTGAAGTGAATTCTAGCCGAAGGACTGCATTACTAACATGGACAGAAACCATTTCATCTTTTTGTTCTCTTTTTTTCATAAATTTGGCTAGTCTGTCTTTTTCCTTTTTTTTTTGGTAGCATTTTTTTTTTCTTCCTGGCATTTTAAATTTTTTTTCCATATTTCCCTCTCCTTTCTCTTGCTTTCCCGTTGTCTTTTTTTTTTTTTCTTTCTAGAAGTACCTCAGACATAAAATCAGACATTCAAAAACCTTATGCTTTGCATCCAGCTACTGCATGAATTCAGCTCCTTTGAAGGTTTTGGAGGTGTTTACAGTTATTACTAACATATTTTTAGATCTGTCTTACATAGTTAAAAACCAGTGTTTCAAAACCACTTCTTAGCTGTTGCAGCTGATTTGGTGCCCAGCTTTCTCTAGCAGAGGTAGATCAATTCCCAGTCATGTTGGCAGTTCAGTGTTGGCTGGAACAACAGTGTGATGCAGGTAGACCTCTTCTAGCCCTTGCCTGTGCAGAAACAGTGACACAGCCCTGCCCACCCACCCGTCTCTTGCTCACCTCTTGCTGCCATCCAGGATGTAAATAGTCCAAACAGGGAGAAAAGACTGCTTCAAGGACTTCCTCACCTCTTTTCCTTCTTTTTCATTGCCTTATGATATTTTGTGCTTTATAAGACTGTATTTCCAAGCAGAATAGCAAGGGGCCCTGCTTTGTGGCTGAACACAGCAGTGTTTGGGCACTTCTGTACCCTGTGTTTAGGTGATAATTATCTCTGCGTCATGTAATGAACTTTCTTCTTATTGTGGAAGAATACTGAGAAAGTAGTTCTGGCCTCATTTCAACATGGATAAAGAAAACACCATCTTGTCCTTATTCCTCTTACAGTTTTGGTGGTTTTTGAGGTTTCCTGTAGTGACTGCTGCATTTTGCTCCAGGAATTACTGTACTGGCTGAAGGGACTTCTCCTTTGGTGTCTGTAAACCGATTTCTCGCAGATGGTACTGTTGATTGGAAGGTTCCAAGGCTTCCTATAACATATCTTTTTGCCCTTCTTTTGCAGAACTTTGTCCGACATCACTGGGTGCACAGGCGGAGGCAGGAGGGGAAATGCAAGCAGTGTGGAAAGGTAGGATTTGCAGCACAGCCCAAGCACAGCACAGAGCACTGTGGAATTCAGGGCAGCCAGTAGGTCTTTCTAGTCACTGAATTTTTTCCTATCACAAACACTTGACCTCTTTTAATGGCTAATGACAAGCCTGAGATATTGAGCAATAACAGCCCTGATTCCCATGTGGGAAGAGAAAGGCAGCTGCATCTGCAGGAATGGGCACATCATGTATCCTGGGAGGTTGTGCTGCACTAGCTGCTGAAAATGGAGAGGAAGGCGGCTGTGGCTCCTTGAGCTTCTTTTTTTGTTAAACTAGCCTGGTACTAATATCGTGTTCTTTCAGTGCTGTCCTCTGTGCCAAAATTGTGATGGCTTATTTTTTAGGCTTCTGGAAAAAGAAAACTATTGCTTTATTTCTGCCCCAGCAGACTCTAAGATTTGTGAGACTGTATCATGTTTCCTCTGCTGCATAGATTGTACAAGTTTATTTCTAAAAAGCTATAAAAAGGAGGGAGAAATATATTAGCTACTGAAGACCATTCTTCTGAAATATTATGAGCCCCTGAAATATATTGAGAGATATTTAAAAATTAAATTAACACAGGGATTTTAATTTCCTTTCTCTAGCACTATATTATACTTTTGCCTCCCTCTTTCCAGCTAGTAAGGAAGTCTGTGTCTCATCTCCATGGCACAGGATTTAAGTTAGAGGAAAATTTGTATGTAGATTTGTATCTAGATATTCACATAGATCGTCAGCTGCAAGCTGCAATAAGACATGCAATAAAAATGCCTGTAGCATGGGAACAGTGCAGCAAGGCATTTTGCATACAGTATTCTTATTGTATGACTTTGCCTTCCTTCTCTGCTTTTTTTGGCCTGGATCTCCCCTTACAGGCATTAGGAGTTGATTTTGCAACGGAAGTACTTACTGGCTATCATACCAAAACCTATACTGGGTATGTTCACATGAGTAACCTTGACTGATATAGAATCATATAATCATTAAGGCTGGAAGAGACCTTAAAGGTCCTCAAGTCCAACCATTACATGGAGAATATGGAGAAGAAATCTGTTTTCCCCTTAAAGAAGAAATATTCAGTTAAGACTAACATGGGTATATTGTAATAGAGTTGTTCTATGTCAAGAAACAGAAAGAATTAGAGGAAAATATAACCAAAAAAAAAAATCCATTATACTTGTTGGCCAAGTAGTCTCTTATTACAGAAAAATACTTGTCTTTCTTAGTGCTCTGCTATCACATTTCTTAAACCCCTGAGTAAGAATCACCTTTATTATTCTCTTATCATGCAAGAAAAGGGGAACTATCATTGAAATAGAATGGCAGTAAATTTGAAGCAATAAAAGGATTCTGTTTGATCTCATTGTGGTGTAGTAGTCCTGTGCCATGCTTGGAATGGGATGGTTAAGTATTTTAATGATCATTAATAATAGTTCAGATAAGGTTTTTAGGATACACCCATCTCATGCTTCAAATCATAAGCAAGTAGATAGGAATTAATGCACCCCAATATTCTTAGCTCTGTGGCTTTATATTTTGTGTGCCATGTGTACCATGCCTGACACTTCCTGGTGTCTGACAGTGTACCACCTTAGATCAGAAGTGCAGTTTGGAAGAAATTTTCCTGATTATCCTCACTTATGATGGTTCATATATGGGACAGTCTTGCAACAAATGAACTGAACTCCTTTTAGATTAAACTTAATTGAAAGTTTACTCTGCACTTACTAATGGACATTCAGTCCACAGGACCAGACTACAACTAGTCCAAAGTAAAATTATTTGAAAATACTTATGTATAGTGTTCTCAGTACCAACAGAGTCTGTCCTATCACTGTTACACATTACTTGCTAGTGAAGATACAGCTTATATGGGCTTGTCCAGGCTTTATTTTTCTCCTCTTCTTCTTCCCAGGAGTGATTTCACTGATTTACTGCTGAAGTACTATATAGAGAATTAGGCATCAGGGAAGGGGGCCTGAAAAGTGCAGTGTAACCAAACAATCTATTTCTGTCAACTTGCTGTGAAGGTTCCCTCTTTTTTGTTGTTGCTTTTTTTTGTTTTGAAACTGGAGAGTGTAATAGAACGATGGACAGATCTCTTAAAGCAAAGTCCCACTGAGCCCAGTATTCAACAATGGCTTAATATGAAAAAGAATAAAATGGAACAGGTGTTTAATGATGCAACCTCAAAACAGTCTCCTGAACTATAAAAATTTCTGTCTAGTGAATTTCCAGAAATGGTGCCTTTATAGTTATATTGTAGCCTATGATAATTTTCTTTCCTGGGATCTTGCTTAGTTGAACCTTGAGTTCCTGTGAAGTTGTAGCATTTACAACATCCTTTAACAATAATTTCCTGAACTTAACTACATGCTATGAGAAGAGGAACATTTTGGTTGTTTCAAACCTGTCACGTATTAGTTTTCTTTCCTCATGCTCCATAACTGTTGTTTTGGAAGAGATGGTAAATAAATCCTCCCAAACTACGTCCTCCACATCATTCATGATGCTTAAGAATTTATTTTTTTCTCTTGAAGACATGAAAAAAGATAGTTTTGTAGCTGTTAGCTGTTTATTACCTGGCATCATAAGAGAAATCTTTATATAATTTGACATAAGAATGTTCAGACCATGTGGCCCAGCATCCATTTCATAACTGAGTGCAGTAATAGAAGCTTAAGGATGAATGCAAAGGAATCTTTTCTTTGTATATTTCCAGTTAGCAGTGGTTTAGGGATTTTCTGAGACTCAGAACACATCTTAGACCATCATGCTAAACAAACACTGTATTTCTTTAACCTTCTGTGGTGTCCAAAGTAGTGTGCCCTCTGTATACGTGCAGTGTGTCTACAGTGTCTCTCAGTTACTGGTCCCTTTACAGGCTTGATCCAGAACTTCGTGTTTTCCTGCATCTAAAGGTAGAACTGAAATTTCTAGTACTTGAAAGGCAATTCCAGTTCTTTATTGTTTTAGCAGAGATCACCATCCAAGTGCTTCTGTTGTAGTCTGTGTTTGAGTTGTAATAATACCTGGCTCTCCTACAGTAATGTTGCATTAGGATATCTCTGAAAGCACTAAAAAGAGAATAAATATTATAGGAAAATACTTGGAAAAAATATTATTACTAGCCCTAACACTACTGTGAAAATAGTCTTTAATGATAAATACTTTTGAGAATATAACCAAAACATACCAGAACTAGTAATCCCCGTGTGCTCTTTTGTGTGCATGAATGTCTGTGTTAATTTGGACCTTCAATTTGTCTAGATAGTCTGAATCAATCACCAACATAAGCTGTTTTTGTGGTGATTCAGGTGCTTTTTTCCTATGAGTAGATTTCTTCTGGTATGCACAACTGTTTAATTCTACAGGAGCAGCCCAAAATAGGGGATTTCATGTGTTGTAGAGGAACTGGTTACTGGGGAATCAGGGCTAATCATGTACTGTTAGGCTGATGGTTCTCATAAAGGTGAAATTCATTTTTTATCTCAAAACTTCTAACTTGGTGGAGAAAACCTCCTTGCATGAACCAGGAACAAGATAACTGAAATTTAGTTTTCCTTCTCATTGAGAGAAGGCAGGAAAGATAATTTCTTATAAAATAGGGGGCTTCCATGGTTTCAGTTTGATAGTTCTCATCAAATCTCACTGTGACAGTGCACTGTTTATTTTATCAGTTCCTTTATTTGTAAAGCTAGCTTTCAAATAAATGCTATCTTACCTGAAACACGTATCCTTAGGAAGTATTAGTGCACATTTGTAAAGCTATTTGAGGAAGGATAGTGGTGTTTTATTGCTACTTATCATTAATATGTTTTCATTGCTGTATCATTTTCTCTAATTACTCCCTAAAAGCCAAATGGCTTACTAAATAAATGGAAAATTGGTCCATCTAGAATCAGACAAGCTGCTTAGGCCATATGTTTAAAATATGCAACTGATGGGCTGTGGAATTAATGTACTGAATTTAGGTTTTTGTTAGTGGAGGTTTCGGGAGAGAAGAGTTTTCCCCCTGGTTATTACAAAGCAGAACAAAACAAAACACTTCATGTTCCCGGGGGACTGAAATCTTTTTTTCAATGCACTTTGGGACCAGAAAGGATGAGATTTGTGAGAAACACTATGAAGCACCAGCGTGAGTGAGAATAAAGCGTTTTTTCCAGCGCCAGAACTCCGTACCAACACTTGGGTCACAGTTACTGTCACTCTGTTCGTTCTTGTGCCCACACCGAATGGCAGACGAGATGTGACCAGCCAGAAGCAGCTGGACAGCTTGTCTTTTTTTAAGCCATTTTGACTACACTACTACTAAACCTGAATATGTCAAATCACCATAATTATGAAGAATCTAATCTTTGAATTTCTCTGAATGTAAACTCTGAGCCATTAAGGGGAGGATTAAAAAAAGCCCCAAAACCTAGCAAACAAATCTAGGCAGAGGTAACACAAGCCTTTTGGAAGTCGATCATGGAGGTGTGGTCCATCTGGCAAGCTAGGTTGGCTGGGATATAGAGATACCTGTAGAAGAAGCTGCAAAGTGTAGTTCTGCATGGTGGGCAGGCAGGAGGAGCCTCCTCCTCTTTAGAGTATCAGTAGGGTTGTCCTCAACTACCTTGTAAAGATAGATTGTAGCTCAATCCCTCACTTAACAAGACCAGTGCATCTCTCCATGTTTTTTGGTTGGTTGTTTAATTCTCCTTCTTGGTGTGCTTGACCTTGTAATTGGACTGAGCACTAACAGACTTATTTTTCCTGCAGGATAGGAAGGACCTTAATTACAGAAGCAGTAAGGCAATGTCTTGCTAGATGTTACTAAATCAGATTATAACTTTCTTGCATTGAGTCTTGGGCATTGTCCAGCATGTAGGAGATTTAGGTATTACCTCAACTTGTCAAAAAGAAAGCTGGCTCACAAATTCATCACTTGGTAGAGAGATTGAATTAGAAAATTCAGGATGATGATGGGCTACTTAATGTGGTAAGAGAGAGGCTTGATGGAAGCTCATGAATAAAGGATCCAGACAACTGCAAATCTGAAATCTAAGCAGTAAAGATGACTATGACAAACTGCTCAATGAAGTTCTGGACTTTATGTCTCTCCAACCATCAACCCAAATCAGATTTTTATCTCACTAAAAGGAACTTTAATTCAACAAAAAACTTCAGGCTCTATCTTACCATTTGTTGCCTGTGTTAGACGTAAGAAGAGTTTATATGACCCAATGGTCTTTCCCAGCCTTAGAATTTAGAGCAAAAGCGACATTTTATTTTATGGAATGGAACTCTTCTGTAGGAGAATAAAGTCTCATATTTATTGGTAATGGTGGGCTTTTTTCTCTTTAAAACTATAAAGAAACGTTTTCTTTTATCTGTTTTATTTGAATCAGACCATCTTGTTTTTTGGAATTTACAGGAAGGATTTTAATCTGAGTCAGCTCAGTAAAACTATAACTTAATTTCCCCACCAGAACATTCCCAGACAGACATTGTAGTTGATTCTGCTCTGTAGTTAAAAAAAAAAAAAAATGGAAAATTCAGACTCTTGTTTTTATTTAGAGCAAACAAGACTGCAACATTCAGCAGAAAATCTGACACTCTCCAGATCTGTAGAAATCCATTAAAATAGGCATTCCTTCTCTATCTTTTTCCGGTGTTTTTAACTGCAAAAAATCTAAGGAAAAGCATAAAATTTTGCAGAAATACTTTTAAAAGTATGTGCAAAAATGCCCCAGTTGAAGAACATTCTCTGTGACTCTTGTCATTGTTTTATCCCCCAAAAATTTGTTTGTTGTCTAAGAGCTTTGAGGCTGAACCAATGCATCTGACTTCAATGAATAGATTTAGCTTAGTACGATCAGGTGACAAGAGTTAAAGGTGCATATTTTCTTGTAGTCAGGAGGAATTTAATCCTTTTTTTCCTGGTTATTCTAGGGCTTTCAGCAGAAGTTTTCCTTCCATAGTAAAGAGATAGTGGCCATCAGTTGTTCCTGGTGCAAGCTGGCGGTAAGTGAATAATACTCTGAGAGACTGTGATCTGTGTTTAAATAGGAATGATTGTGGGTGTTTTTTGTTGTTGTTGGTTTTGGTGTTTTTGTTTGTTTGATTTGGGTTGTTTGTGGTTGTTTGTTTGTAAGAAGGCATGATTTGGGAAGATAATCTTTAGTTACATGTTCCTAAAACTCCATGGTTTGACTGACTTGAAGACGGTAGAGTTGGAAACATAGCTCCAGTTTTTGTACCATCCCCCTCTTTTTCCTCTCCATGCTTCCCCTTTATGTTTCTTGACCTCCTTAGTGACTCTACTCTTTCCTTCTCTTCCAGTTTCATAACAAAGTCACCTGTTTCATGCTGCATCACATTGAGGAGCCGTGTTCCCTGGGGGCTCATGCTGCTGTCATTGTGCCTCCCACTTGGATCATTAAGGTGAAGAAACCTCAGGTAACTGCATGCTGATGTCTGTTTCGGAAGCTGTGTGGCTGTGCAAAGCCAACCTGGCTTCGCTGCTCGGTTCTCCTTCACGAAAGCATGCTTGTTCAACCCTGTCTTTATCCCTGAAACCCAGCATACCTCCATGGTGATTATGAACCTGTATTCTCCTGCCCCTCCATCCAGTCCTTCAGTAGATTTCCCTGTTTGGGATGATGAGCAACAAACATGACTTGTTCTGAGCTAATCCGGTTCAGATTTGTTCCTGTAACTGAGTTCAGCAAGCATACTGCAAGAAAATCCCCCGTGTGGTAGGCAGTCAAGCATGTTTCATTAAATAGAGCTGAGCAAATACAGGGAAAACCCATTCACAAACATTCACTTGAACAGCAGAAAGAATTGGCTGTGGCTGGACTGGCACCCTTCTGAATTTGCCATTAATGGACATGTAAAGAATCATGTCTTATTTACATTGGTGCTTGCTCGTTGTCAGCAGTAAGCACATGTGCTCATTTAGTTGAAGGTAACAAACACTAGAATTCAAAGCATTTGTGATGGATGTGATAGGTCCTGGAGAGGATAATTCACTGGTGAACATAGGGGGAAAAGATATCCACAAGAGAGCTGGCCAAAAATTAAAAAGGGGTTCACATCATACAAGAAGTATTTTTTCTTTGGAAGTCTGTTTTCACTTTAAGTTGAGCTGAGAGAAACAAATGCTGAACGTATCAGGGAGCCAGAAATACTGATTAATTTTTTATTTCAGAATAACAATTTTTATTTCAGTCCATCCTTGGGAAGTGACCCAGGCTTTTTGACTCCTGGTTGTCAACAAGAAGCCAAGAAGTTCAGGCTGTGGACAAGGCACTAAGACAAAACTAGTCCTATGAAACTGGAAAAAGGCCTAAGACCTAAGTGGTGACACTGCTCAATCTTTAGTTCCGGTCTAGGAATATGATCAGCAGATTTGGGCATGAATAGGATTTATAACAAGCTGGTTATTGAAGACAATGGGCAGAGGGAAGGGGAAATATATGTATAGAGTAATCAAAAAATCGACCAAAGAAGTTGCTGTTTCTCTTTTAGGTCAAGAGAGAGTGTAGGCAAAATTCCCAACCACCTCCACTCAGAGAGAAAAAAGGGGGTTATTTGTCATTGGTAGCTTTTCCCCACACTCTTTTTTCTCTGTTTGTTTTACCTGGGACTCCTCCAGAGAAATCTTTTTTCTCTCTCTTGTTGAGGAATGTTTGAGTCTTTGGCAGGGACTTAATATCTTGACTAATTTTTAGCACCATGCTTGATAGATGTATCCATGTCTGACCTTACTAACAGAAACTTTTCCTCAATTTTTTAATTCTTATTTTATTTAATTTTTAGTAAAAAAAAAAAAAAAAACAACCAAAAAAACCCCCAAAAACCTGTCACTTTTAATTTTCTCTTGATTTGACTTTTGGCCAAAGCAAGGTACATTCTTTATAATATTTTTAGAGAATGTAGTTTCTTGTTCACTGTTTTTTTCAGATCAGTTCCAATTAAAAAATAGAATCTGATCTAGCTAATTATAATTTATGGGAAAATATCTTCTAAATAAAGGTTTAATATGTTAAACTATGGGAAAATATCTGTTAGCTTTGTGTGCCTGAGTCGTGAGTGGTAGGGAAGGTACTGCAATCCATTATTCCCTCTCTATCACATCTTGAGTCCTTGAGATTCATGCTCAGCAGCACGCAAAAACCTTGAGTAGCTGAAGCATTAGATAGACGAAAATTATATTTAACACAGACAATGGGGATATTTCTGTGAAACTTCATAACAGCTCCCATTGCAATTATGGGGAATGCATCCTTATTGCTTTAGAAAATACTGATGCATCTTTTGGATGTGTTTTCAGATTTTTGGCAGAAGTCTTGTTTTCTTATTTATTATTTTTTTAGGAAATATTTTTCTTCTCCTGCTGTTTCTGGCCAGCTCTACTGTTATGTATTATTACCCTCTTCACCCCATAGGAATGTTTGGTAAACACTATGAAATATTCACTGCATTCAATCCACAGAATATAAACACAATATTCACAATTTTTTGTAAATTCACATAATAAATGAATGTGTAACCAGCAATCTGTTTTTCACATATTCCACAGTCAGAATAAATTTGACTAGAAGCTTTTTTTGTTATAAAATATTTTCTCAGCTCTAACTACTTACATTGGTCAAAGACACCTCTTGAACTGAATTTCCTACTCATATAAAATTGATTTTAGTGGTGCCTGCATCCTGTTTGTTATTTCCTTTAAGCAAATAAGTTGGCTTTTTGTAGCAAAACCTTGCCCTGTTTTATAATTTTTTTTTCTTTTTATTGCCACAAAAACAGTTTTCCATGCTTATTTTGTATAACGTGGGTCACCACCTTCCAAATATTGGGCTTGCGTAAAGACCACGCTCCCCGTCTCATTGCTAATGTTGTGGTAGTAAAACATCATGGTGTAATTGGCTAAGGACAAATTATTGCTGACAACCTATGTTCTAAATGGGGAACTTCTTGCAAGCAACTGATTGCAAGATGAATGATATTCAGAATGGTTCAAATAGCTTTGGAATCGGTGGTAGCTGTGTATGTAAAGACCCACTCACACATGAATGGAAAACTCCCAGTACCTATTCCATGTTTCCATAATGTGAGCCACTTCTGTAACTTTTTTACTGATTTCCAGTGTTTCTGTACTCTTAGCAGTGCTTTGAAACCAGCTCTGTTTTCCTGGGGTTCAAATCAATTCCATCTCCTAGTTTGTGAAGCAGGTCACCCCTGTTGACTGGTAGTGTTTTTTTAATAGGTGAGGTTTGGTAGCCAAAGTGGTGTTAGCTCTAGCAGTGGGCTTGCTATATGCCTGTGATGTGGGGAAAAAAGCAGGTAATAAGGAGGATCTGGCTCATGTATTGAGTCTGTCTTCTGTTTGGGAAGATAAAGGCAGTAACTAAAATTCCAAGGTTTTTCTGTTCAGGGTGAGTAAACGTGGTGTTTTCTTCTTCTGCTCCTTTGGGGACCTTGAAAAAGTTCTAGTGAATGCTTATATTTCTGGGTTTATTTCTTTATTTCTTCAATTGATGAGTGCAGCTGGCTTGTCTGATGGTGTTTGTAAACAACCAGAAGACGATCTAGACTGACTTTCCCAGACGCTGTTCATTATTTAAGTAATTTGAAGATCAGCGTGCTAAAAGCCTTTGAAAATGAAGGCTGAAATGTTGTAAAGGAAAAGGTTGAAAGGTGTAATTGGATTTCTCTGAGGTAGCCCATGGCCTTTGCACGATCCAACACCACACAAGAAGAACTCCAGTTCTCCTGCTCACCTAGGTAATCTTGCTGAGAGCTATACTGACCATTCAATAATATGAAAAATCTCTTTTTGAAGATGGACAAACTGACATCCACAAAGGAGAGGTTTCCTCTCTAGAGGCAAGTTAGGATTTACTTATGGTGCCCATTTAAAGGTATGCTTTGCTATCAGGTACCTTGCTGAATAACATTACATGTTTACAAAATACTCATCACCTTGTTATGTGAACAAGGTAGTATGTATCCATTTCTTCACTTCAGTGTGCAAAGACTGCTGATACTCTTGGCTGTTACTCTTCTGCATGCTTGCAAAAAGAACCTGCATATGTTTAAGCAGCTTTTTTACCTCTCATCTGCTATGGACGTGCAGTTGCAATTACCGTAGCAAAGCTTTAGGTTCTGCTAACGCTGAGGTGTAGGCATGTAGAAAAAAAAAAAAAAAGAGTGAAATAACACTGTTGTGATGTAGCATAATTTAATGCCTTTTTGAGTATGGAAATGAAAATGTTTATAATCATGATTGGAGGCTTAGACTGAAACCGTTTCTTTAATATAACTGTGTTCCTTTTCCCTACTCACCCATAGGCAAGAAAAAAGATACATTTTCATGGGATTTAATGACAGCTACATTTAAACATTCTTTAAATTATTCTTTTAAAATTAGTTAGTGTTTTACCGAACTGTCTTTGCCCTTTCCAGAAGAACTTCATTGGACTTAGGTCTCTCCATTTTGGAGGTAGAATAACAAGTACACTCCTTCTAGAGATACAGTTAAGAACTTGCCTAGTGTTTTACCTAACTTAAGTTATAAACTAATATTTGTCAGCAGAATTCACTGCACTTAACCAACACAATAAACATTTTGAATTTTGCACCTGGACAGACTGATGCACAGGGAAAAGGTTTGATATGTGTGTGAGCTTTCAACAGACTGCTAGCAAGACTGTGGATCTTCTCTCTGTGTCCTGTGTTTTACCCCACTCCAGAGATAATCCTTCATCAGAGAATGGCTGAGGAACTAGGTCAAGGCCCCCATGGGAGGCAGCTTTGAGTGTAACATCTCCATAACTTTCTGTTGGCATCAAGACTGTTGTACAGTTGATCTGATTACAGAGGTAGGGCAATGAAAGACCGTGCAGATGGGATTGCTGATACATTCACGTAGTCAGTGCAGTCTTTGGGGTTTATCATGCTTTCAAAATCACTTTGTATCAGAGTAGGGAAAGGTATGAACACTTCTTTAGGTAGTTTCTCAAAATACCGTCTAAAAGGGCAAATACTCTGAAACTGCTCTGCAGGCCTGTCCTGTCTTCAATATTTTTGGTAAGCAGTAAGGCGTGACTATATCCTCGTCCACAAGTAATGTTGAGAGGTGATAAAAAGCTTGGGACCTTGGGCTCTACAGCAGACTTCTCTTGATCTCCATAATTAAGGACAGTGCCCTTAGGTCTTTGAGTTAGACAGTTGTTAGTTTTATTTCTAGGAGATGTGGAAGCATTAACTTCTGTGTCTGGTCTGTCATACTGAAGTCTTGAAATTCTGAAACTGGTGGATGTGTATTAAACAAAATGTGGTAGCTATTCTTGCTGATGTTGGTTAGCAAGCAGGATAAAGAACAGACATCACTGTTTAGAGATTTGATGATCTCTGCTTGTTGATTTTCATAAGTGGTACACTTATAAACAAGGTCAGGACAGAAATGAACTTTCGGATGGCTGAGTGAATCTTACTTTCCCTCTTGAAGCCAGGAAAAAAAAAGTCAATGAACTTTCTTCTAATTCCTCGTTTTACTTTAGTTCTTGGTGATGACTAGACTAGAAGTTGAAATACTGCAAAAATATTTGGAGTATTTCCCATAATACAAAATTTCAATCATATGGAAATGGTTAGGGTTTCCTGCAGGTATGACTTCAATTACTGCATTAAAATAATTGAAAAATTTAATAAAATTATCCTTTTGGGACTGTTCTTATCAAACCAGAACACCTTTTCACTCAGTATCTCTGAGCAGACTATTGCCAGCCTGGAGAACAGCCTTGACATAAGTTCTTTTTTAATAAGTTCTGCAAAAATACAAGCAATTATATGTTTTTACCTATGTAGTTAAGTGATACTGGTATTTAAAAACAAAACAACCACCCACCCCACAAACACTCCTTCACTCAAATCCTTAAAAATTAAAATTAATTCAGTTTGTTCCTTAGCAGATGATTACACAAGTTTCTTGGTAGGCTGGGACTGACTCTACAGTGCCAGCATCATACGCCATGGTGGCCTACGTTATGTTGAGTCATAATGGTTGCCAGAGCTAAAACTTGTTGTTTTCTTTCCTAAAAAAAAAAAAAAGAGAAGAAAAAAAACATGAAAAATATCTCATTTATCATGTTTTTTATTACATCTTTATGCAGGTGGTCTCCATACCAGGAGACGAGCCTGATTGGGCAGGAGACTGGAGCCCCGAAGGGGAAACGGGCGTCTCCTACCCCTATTGGGAGGGTTGGCAGGTACAACATGTGGTGTTATGTGAGTCTATGGGAGCATCTGATCTTTTTTTCCCCCTCACAGCGTGGGAAAGTTTCCAGTTCCAAAGCACCAGTCTGGTCTCCGTGTGTGGCTTTCTCCATAAACGGTGGTGTGGAAGTGTAAAGCATGCAGCGCATGTGATTTAAATCTCGAGCATGTGCCAGATACTCTTATCATTCTCCAAGTGGACATGCATGGAAGAGCTTCGTAAAGGGGCTCTGTCTGGTCCTGTCTTCTAAATTTTGTTTTGCTTTTCATGTATTCTTTTTTCTTTTGATGTAGAACTCCTTAAAGACTTCAACACGGCGAAAGAAGAGAACATCTTTTAAAAGAAAAGCCAGCAAAAGAGGCAATGAAGTAGGTATTCAAGTGCTTTGGAAATCAGGCTCCTTTTGTTTAAATGTTTAAACTGTGAATTTGAAGTTGTTAGGGTTTTGGTTTATTTTCTTTCTTTCTTTTTTACTGCATTGTTCAAAATATTTTTTCCCCTGGAAAATTCAATGCTATTGAATTTGTTGTTAGAAGAGATAAAACTTGTATGAGAAGTTTTATTTTCTGAGTTGATTTTTTTCAAGAATCAACGTACCAGACTCCAGAAGGACCAGCACCCTATTCTCTTGGGATGTAAGAGACTCAGCTCACACCCTTGTTTTCCACTAGGCAGAGCAAGGGTGTGAAACTGGGGTTGTGAAGTCCATGGTGAGTGCACTGATGCAAGGCTCTGATCCAGTTTGAGGATGTTTCCTTCGGGGGATCTCATATTGGAAATATTCTGTTTGTGTGAAAATTGAAATTCGACCACAGAGGGAGAGAGAATACAGATTATTGATCTGATGGTTTGATTAGCCATGTATCTTATAGAAGACCTTGCTTCCCGACTCTTCTTAGTGGATTGGTTATATAGACAAACAGCTTCATGAGAGAGGTGGAGGGAGACTGGCCTCTGCATAGCCAGGGCTCTCTGGTTCAAGGTCTCACTTGAGTGGTAGGAGAACTGCAGACCAGAAACTAGAATCCTCATCTGTAAGAGCCCAGGACAGTATCCTCATTACTGGACTCTCTGGTGTCCTGCAGGGTAGGGAGTAGGGAGGCAAATAGTTTTCTCATTGATGTGTTGGGTTTCATCTGTGGCATTTATTCAAAGGTGGGAAGGCAACAAGGCCAAGAATTCAAGAGCATATTACCTGCAAATAAGTGCTGATACAATTTATCTGTTAGAATGAATTAATGGAATAAGTAGCTTATCTCATTCTATTTTCCTTTGGAAAAACTGTTTGTATTAGAAATAACACTGTATCTGACACACTATTAATGCTGTGTGAATACTTGGGAGTGGGATGGCTGGAAATAATACTGAGTAAAATTTTAAAATAGTTATGTATTACCCTGAAGTTATATTTCCCCCCTCTTATATTCTGTTGCCTCATCTGGATAAATAAGTCCCAGTTGAGCACCACATTGACATGGCTGTACTATTTCCAATACCTGAGGTAGTTTTATCAGAGCTAGGTTGGGTCTCCTGTGTGTGTTATGCCAGGAAAACATACATAACTTGTACTAAAGCTATTTCTTACTTCTGTTTCTCAGGAGAACAAAGGCCGGCCGTTTGTGATAAAGCCTATCTCCTCTCCACTCATGAAGCCACTGCTGGTTTTTGTCAATCCAAAAAGTGGAGGGAATCAGGTAAGAGCATCAGCTGGATCCAGGTCCCAAAGTTTTAGTTTAATAGTAGGGTTTCTGCTAGTTAAATGACAATAGTTCTTGGTCAGTCAGATAGAAAGGACTCTATGCCTTAACTGCAGTCCTCAGAAGAGGTCCTTGCTGTTGAATGACCATTCCACTTTGGTGGAGCTGGGTGGCTGAAATGGGTACTTGAGTATTTGAGTGGTTGCATTCCATTTTCAGATTCTTGAAAGGAATCTAAATTGTCAGTTTGGAGGTTTTCAAAAGACTTCATCTTTCCATGGAAAATTTGCGTTGCCAATGCAGTTTTAGACTTATCTTTTTCCAAAAAGTGGTTTGATTTTACTAGGAAAGGCTAGTGAATGTGAAATGACATATTCCTATGGCATTTAAAAAATCATTAGTGGTCTTGTACTGTACCATAGAGAACCAAGTTTCAGTGACAGCAGACTTTTTCCTTAGGATTCTTGGAATGAATACTTACCCAAGTGAATGTTTTCCAGGTCAGTTCTACTACTTTTTGGACATCAAAGAATCTGAGTGCCTTTCGATAAACAGGTCCTTCTATTAGAAAAGATTGATGTAAGATACAACAAAGGCCTATAGAGCATGGAGAATAGCATAGCCCCTGTTCACCTTCTCCTCTGTTAGAAGAATTAGAGAGGATATCAAATGAAACTGCTAAGACTGATCCAAAACAAAGGAAAAAGCTGCTCCTTCTCACATTGCATAGTTCAGCTGCCATAGGATGTTGTGGATGCTGAAAGTTTACACAGGCTGAAGGAGAGATTTAGAAGAGAAAAACCTGGATTACTGAAGTCCTGTACCTCCCTCTGGCTCAGGAATTCTATGAACCACACAGAGCTGAGACTGGAAGAATACCTATGGCAAACATCACATTTATTTGCTCTCTTCTTATACTTTTTCCTAAGTACTATGACTGCTATTCTTGATTCTCCACTTAGAGGAAGGTGTCAGGCAGAAGAGCCATCCCTCAGAAGGGGAAACTGTGGGATATTCCTGATGGATATCCTGAGGCCATGTCTGAAAGGCATTCTTGAATTACTTTGGAATACAAGCTCACCCCACAGAGTTCTTAGCTCTCTGCTGATAGTAAGAGCTCCTGCCATTTTGTGTCTAGGCAGAACATGGAGGAAGGAAACTGAGTGTCTGGAACATGAACCCAGGAGCTTGAGAAAACAAAAATCATACTTCTGGGTGATGGGTTGGCTGCACTGCACTGAGTGAGGGAGCACTGGGGCAGCTGCAGCCCTCAGAGTCCTTGGGTCATGCTTCATTAAATAGTAGAGGGTTACAATTATGAGCGTTCGTGGTGGTGATGGTGGAGGTCAAAGCATTGTCATTGTTTGGATATTGGACAGGACAGTGTTAAATGTGATGGTGACTTTGCATACAATCTTGTTCAACTTCTTGCTGTCATGGATGATTGAGGGGGCTGTGGGATAAGAGAGGTTTCTTCTTGTTGCAGGTGATGAGAGGCAGGGGAACGGGTTGCTGTGGGAGATGTTCCTTTGGTCTGACCCCAAATACCTGTTCTTATGAACCGTTAGTGATCTGTGTTTTGAAATTAGTCTAAATGCTTACATGTGAACCTTGTCCAGATTGGTGGGTTGTCTTTTCTTGTTTTGTTTGCTTTATAAAGCACAACAAAACCAATGAAAAAAATGAAAAGCAGTTAAAATATAATGAATAATGCATACTGTTATTTCTAATAATCATTAAACTACTTCTAATTTCCCTTCCTTCGATTTTTTTCTCTCTCTTCTCAGGGTACCAAGGTTCTCCAAATGTTTATGTGGTATTTGAATCCACGCCAGGTCTTTGATCTCTCTCAGGAAGGGCCAAGAGATGCGTAAGTTTTCAAGCCTTCATCTCTGCACGATCTATTTCTTTTCTGATGAGGAAAGCAAAAGAAGGTCTAGCTTGGCTAGATTACTAGACTATATATAAGAAGTATGTATCTAGGTTTTGGTAGCAAAAGGGAGGACTGCAGTGGTGGCTTTTGTGAGAAGAGATCAGGAGCTGCCCCTGTGTCAGACAGAGCCAGGTCCAGATGGCTCCAAAACTGACTCACTGCTGATCCCAATGCCTGACCATTCCCTAGTGGATGAGAATTACAGCGGGGTGAGGCTGCCTCCAAATTGCCATACATGACAGCACTATGCAAGTGTCTCTGCTTGCTAAGTAACTACCTCACTTTATCTGGACAGTTAAACTGTGATCCTCTTTCACGGGAGAGAGGACTCATCTTTAAAGGGATGATTCTTGCTGCCAAGGGTTAAGAAACCACATTTCTATGGTAATTGTAATGGGGATACTTGCTGTACTTAACAGTCTGTTCAGCCCTACTTTGGCAATTTAGGCAGCACAAAAAGCTAGTAATAATGTAAAATAAAATATTTACCTGTATAAGAACAGTCCAAGTATTTCCTATTCAAGACATCCAAGCTTTTTGTTACTCCTGCAGAAACATCTCCACTGCTGTTCTCTCAGATGTTTAGAGGCTTTAAGGAAGACTTACATTTATCAGAACTGTATTATGAGGCTAAAGGAGGATTAGGTCCTCTGGTCACTCGGCTCTGTACACACAATGTACCCACTCCATTACAAGATATTTCATTCTGCCATTCTTTGATGCACCTGAAGAAGCAGGACTTCAATGGGTGCTTTTTTTGTCTCTCCTGTTGGTATCTTAGATCAGATATCCCGGAAAAGGCCTCTATTAGATGTTCTTGCCTTCTGTGGTGTTAAAATGTAGTTACTAGTTGAAGAAGCTGTCATATTCTACAAGCTTGAGAAACAGTAGCTCGTCAAATCATGATGAGGGATAGTAAATTTTCTTTAAGAACCTCAGTGTTTAAATTCATTTACTTTAGGGTAAGAGAAAAATGAAAGATTGACCTCTCTAGGGGGAATGTGAGAATCTGGCCTTCCAGATTTAGCACGGCAGCATGCTAAACTGATCAAACACTTGTCAGGAGGTGCTGCCTAACGAGGAAGGAATGTCCCATTTCACATCCTAGTGGTTTTGCATGTGTTTGTGTGAAGACATGAAGTGACCCACAGGGCTCAGGTTAGGTTGGGGCCAATGTTGCCTGTGACTACCAGGGCCGAAGCCTTGTCACTGCTGAGGCTTTTGGCCACAGATTTTTTTTTTTCTGACCTCCACTTACATTCTTCTTAGTAGTGAATATTTTAAACTGCAGGAAGTGATGGTTACACTGTCACTCAGCAAAACGCATAAAAAGTGTCTGCATTATTGTTCTGATGTTTTTTTTCCTTTTTTTCCCTTTCCCTCCCTGACCAGGCTGGAGCTGTACAGAAAAGTGCCAAATCTGAGGATCCTGGCCTGTGGCGGGGATGGGACGGTAGGTGGCTGGTGCCTGGCAGCCCTGTGGTCTTCGGCCAAGTGATTAAATTCCTTGCAGTGATGAGTTCCCCACCTCGCAACACCTGCAGAGCCAGATAAGATACCTAATGCTTGTGAAGTCTAATATTGGTTTTTCAGTTTTATGTGTGGCCTGGCCTGTGTAGATATGGGGCTAGATCCTAATGTCCGAAGTCCTTTTTCCTTTATGCATAAAGATTTGGTACAGCTTAAAAAAGATAAAGTCTAATTTTGCCCGTCTCCTCTCACTATTTACATAGATCTGAGGGTCTAGCAGGTTGAACCAGTGACTGGGAGCCACTCTGCTCCTTCCTGCTGTTGTCTCCATGATGTCTGAGTGCAGTAAAGTAGTGTCTTCTCTGTGCCTAATAAAGTTAGTTTCCCCACTTTCTTTATGAAGCCTCTGTGAGGAAGGATATTGCATTGGTCGTGCAACTAGCTTGGCATCCGGCAGATCCATGTTCAGTATTTGTCTTTGCAACAGAATTTCTGGGTTCTTGGATAAGTGAATAGGTTCAAATCTTTAAAGGATTTGGGCACCTTCGGTTGGAGACAGACTCTGCAGTTTAGGGTCCAGATGCCATGGGTGGTAATGGAATTATTGCAACTGCATTCTCTCTCCAGTAATTAGGAATGTTATAAATCCCAGTCTGTGCCACTGAGTGCTTAAATACAGTTGAAAAACTGCCCTTTAATCTCTAGTAGGCTCAGTTCCCCAAAATGCGTGTGATAGTAATTTTAACCGTAAGTATGGTAAGGAAAATGCATTACCCCTTGCAAGATGCAGTGATTGGACAGAATAGATACATGTAGATGTTTAGACCTTGGAGAGGTGGTTGGTTTATTTTGTAGTGAGCTGTACTCCCACTCTTAGCTCATCTCTGCTTGAATTTCTTAGGGAATTTTTTGTTCAGCTTCTGTGTGTTCCTTTAAAACCCCATCAGTAGGGTTACTAATACCAGTGCTTCCCCTGGAAGTGTGAAGAAAAAAAAAAATTAGTGATAAGACTGCTATCTTACTGGTTCATGGGGAATTACTGAATTACTGAATTATGAACTTTTCTTAAGAAATGTGCAAGGCATTGCTTTAGCAGGAGACATAAGCTGCAAAAAAGTTATTCAGTCAGTTGCTGGAATTCTTTCTCTTTTCCATCTGAGGAAGCCAGTGTTTTCATAGGGGAAAAAACTATTTGTCATGAAGGTATTAAAATAGAAAAGAATGCAACTACATTGAGTCGGACCATCCTTTGTTTTCCCTTTGCTGAACAGTGCAAGCGAGAGGTGGCAGCACCTTCTCATTAGTATGAACAGCACTCCACTATTACTTTTGCTGCCGCTCAGTTTGAAGCAAATTAATATCTAGTTATTCCCAAAGCCATTACATTTAGAAATGAAAAATCTGGCTCAAATGGAATTAATGAATATGCAATGAGACCAGATGTTACCTTGCATTATTGAGCTGAATCACAACTTATTGTAACTTTTCCATCATAACTGCTTGCTGTTACTTTCCAGGGCAGAGGTGGAAAGCTTCTCTTTCAAAGCAGTCAGGAGCTTTCTGTTTACAGGGAAACGATAGTCTGTGCCATCCTTGATTGTACAGCTAATGTACAAGGTTTAGAAGTGACCTCAAGTTTAATAGCAATGTTGTACTTATAAATTAGTAATTTGAAGTTTCTGTTTATCACTTCAAATCATTCACAGAAGTGCTAGGTATTGTAATGTTATCTGTAGCAGTGAGAGGCTGAAGCGCAGATGTGTGGATTAAGTCAGTGGTAATGACAAAAGACCCTTTAAGATTTCCTGGCCCCACTGAAGTTATTTGAACTGGTTTTTTCTGTCTTCTGTTAACAATGTTGAAGGATAGATATTTTCAAAGATAGGGGATTATTTACCTCTGAAAATCCCTCTAAAAGACCTACATATTTTTGGTGACATCCAAAGTCATGAGAGCTGTAAGTACCTGAGATAACTGTTGTCAGACAATGAATTTGAATATGGGATCACATCCCGGATGAATGCTTTAATAATTGGACAGTTGGTTATGATAAATAGCTGTCTGATAAATGCCATTTGTGCAAAAATAAATTTATCTGTTAAGAGACCTGGAGAAAGAAATACCCCAGAATACTGAATAGCGTGGTGGTTGCTATATTTATCAAACCACCCTCTCTGCTGATCTTCAGATTCCAGCTATTGTTCCCAGTACCCATGTTATGCTGAGTGCCTTTTGTGAAGCTCCAGTGTAATCCCAGTTTGGGTTAAGAATCTATTTCAAACCACAATAATATTAGTTGGGGGAAGAAAAATTTTGTCCAGCTACAGTCAGGATTTATGTTTTCTGTCTTATTTAAAAGCTCACATTTCCAGTAAAAACTGCATTTTTGGAAACTGTGAGAGGAAAAAAAAATCTTCTGTTTATTTTTTACTAATACTTTATTTAAAAATGCAACCCAGGTTCTTCACGAATTATTATTATTTTTTTTTTTTTAAAGTGGAAGTAGTTTAAAGTGAGAAGTAGTTTAATAAAGAGTTCTTTGGTTTTCTGTCAAGAATATCAGTCGTAAAATGTTTGGTAACATCTTTAGTAACAATTCTTTCTCCCCTTTGGAAATTACCATTTAATGAAAACAGAATAGTTTACAGTTATTTGTTCCTTTGGATAGATTTCTAGTTGAAAGTTTTATGTAGTCCAGAATAATGACCGGAGAGAGAAATAGCTGTGTAAAATAACTAATAGCTTAGAATACAAAAGAGACTGATTCATTGTTCCAAATCCAAGACCTTTAACCCTGAGCATTAAACTCTGTCTTTTATTCCAGTCTTTTAGTCTTTTATTTGATATATATGTGTATATATCTATAGATATAGATATAATGCTTTGTACTGAGTAAAATAATTCAACACTAAGGTCTCTTGTCTGGGAAATGGGAGACTTGGGGGCAAGTTGATGCTCAGCATGACAAGTTCTCAGACACCATGCAGTTTTAATGCATCTCTCACATTTTCTTTCATAGCTGTTGTCAAAGGTTTAGTTTCTTTTGGCATAATGGTAATTTTAAAGACATTATCTTGAATTGTCAATTATTCTTCTTTGTTCACTTTTGCATTTCTTTTACATGGTCTTTGCTGTGAATAGGAATATGATATGATCAAAATATGCCTTTTTCCTTTTAATCTTTCTGAATACCAATTCTCTGCATTTCCCTTTTTATAGGTGGGCTGGATCCTCTCCATCCTCGATGAACTGCAACTCAGCCCCCCGCCTCCAGTGGCTGTCCTTCCCCTTGGCACTGGGAATGACCTTGCCCGCACCCTCAACTGGGGTGGGGTAAGGACTGACTGGGGCACCCTTGTGTGGGGCTTCTCAACTTGCTGCTTGGATTTAGTCGTGTATGGTGGACCTTCCTTTGGGCTAAAATAGCAGGCAGGGCTGTGTCCAAGGTCTGCTTCACTTAAGGCATAATGGTTTGATTCAATTTCCAGTCTGGGATTTTGAATTACTATTGATGTAGTTGTAATAAAAGTGTATTTACATATCTCTGGTATTTCAGGCCGAGTAATGAGGATGATATGCAGGCTTCTAATTTAAGCATAGTTTAAACTTCATTTCTCTTTGTTTATCCTTGACTACAGCACTGGAGTTATTCCAGGCAACACAAATACACTTTGAGTACCTCTCGTTATGGCTTTATTTTGCCTGCCCTACACTTGTGCACCTCAGTAATAGCCTGTTATTGATGCATCAAAATTTACCAAAGGTCTTAGGAACCTTTGATCTGGTGTTTTAGGCCTGTGTGAAAGGAGGGAGGTCTGCCAGGTAACTGGTGAGTGACTTGATTTGTTTTTGCCATCCGTGGCTGATACTCTGGTCACATTCTGCTGTCAGGGTTACACAGATGAGCCAGTGTCCAAGATCCTCTGCCATGTAGAAGATGGGACCATTGTCCAGCTGGACCGCTGGAATCTGCATGTTGAGCGCAACCCTGATTTGCCCCAGGATGAGCTGGAGGATGGGGCACGTAAGGTTAGAGCCTACTTTTTCCCGCGGAAACTATAGGATGCTTATGAATGCCTTTGGGTTACACCATAAGCTGCATGGGTGGGGAGTCATAAACATTTTTAATTTTCTATTTGCATCTCTCCTTTTGTTCTTTTCATGTGTCAGTGATTCCAGAGTTGTGTGAAATGTAATGCCTTTATTTGTTGTTTGTAACTCCCAGGCATTGAACATTTATGTCAAGGACTAAATCCTGGAAAAAGATCCCTAGCAATTTATCAGAAAGGTCATTGTTGTTTTTCTCTAGTTGCAGGAGAAGCAACCCTGTGACTACCATCCATTTCCAAATTAGACAAAACTAAAAACAGGATGTAAAATTTTCTTCCTTAGGATTTTGCTAATGGATACCAGCTGTTTGCTACTTTACAGCAAGGTGTAGTGTATTTTTGTATTTAACTTCTTTGTGTGTGGGTCTCCATATAATCTCCATTAGTGTATCTTGATAATTGAAGAGTGGGAAAATCTTTTGTGAGGAATCTTATAGTAATATGCCATTTGGACTGGAGATGTTGAAAGTGCTACAAGTATAAAAAAAACCCCCTGATTCTGTGAACCATTTTCCTCTTCTCAGTTATAATTTCCAGCTTATCTATTGGATGGTACTGTTGCCTTTGTACAGCCCTGCTGGGCCTGTGTAACAATGAGGAGGCCAGATGTGTGCTTCCCTGCCTCATGCACCCTCAGTAGAATCAGGGCTTCTTCTCTGGGACTTGCATTGGTCCTGGTTATATGTGAAGTGAGAAGAACACAGCTTGCATTTCATTTGCCATGCTGAGCTTGAGGAGCCAGCAATTATGAAAATCTTTGTATTGGTGACATATTAAGTAGTGCAACATTATGGGAAATCTCAGTGACAACATAAAGAACCCTTTGATGTGTTTATAAGGATACATATATGGTTATAAAGTACTGTAGATGTGTTTGTGTTCTTCGGGTTCTTGTATCTGATCCTCTTCCACAAGCCATTACTAACCTTCAGAGCAACCTTCTGCTTACATTTTCCTGATATGTCCTACTTTCTTCTGAGGTTTTCCTCACATGCCAGCTTTAAAGTAGTTAATCCCTGGTGTGTTGAGAAATGTTTAATTCATGTTATTTTTACATCTCTTTTTATTATCTAATTACAGCTTCCCCTCAATGTCTTCAATAATTACTTCAGCCTTGGATTTGATGCACATGTTACACTGGAGTTCCATGAATCTAGAGGTAATAGGGACTTTTTATTTCCTTAGCCTTGTGGATGGACAGTTAATTCATGAATTAGAAATGAAGTTGGATTTGACATCCTGTTCTTATAATTCATAAGGAAGGCTGGAGCAGAAAAACACAAGATACAATCACTTTCTTTCTTGTATGTATCATGAGTTTCCAAGGGACTTTATAATTAAAAAACTGAAAAAGTACAAGGAAGACCGTCATTTATTGGAGGAAAAGGACTAAGAGGGAAGATTTTTGAAGTTTTAGATCTTGTAAAGGAGGTAAGTACAGACATAAAGGAAGTTAGTGATGATGCAGAAATGTCAGAATAAGAGAAAGAAAAATAAGTCAGTTGCAAGTGTGGAGGTGGAGGGAGGAGAGGAGCTGCAAGACTGGAAGTAGCAGGAGGATAATTGTGTTCTCAAGCTAGAGGGCTGTTATCTATGGATGAGTACAGCACATTGACACTGGACTTGGTACAGACCCAGAGTGTCTCTATGCAAGTTAAAGGGTTTTAATGTCCACAGAACTGTCCGGAATTGAGCAATTGTAGCATCTTGTCTGTCCCTGTGCCAGTGGCAGTTTTACCACCCCATACAGGTTGAAATGTGGCTTAATTGGCTGGGTTCTGGACTGATGTGAACTGCTGTATTTATATGGTTTAGGCAGGAGTGCTTGTAGAAACAAATCTGGTTCAATTCTCTATGTTCAGCTTTTGGTCATTCCAGCTTCATACGCAGGTACTTTTTTTGAAACACAGCCTCCCTTGTCTTCACTGTCATACTATCAGTGTGTCATTTCTAGATGAAAAGACAGCACTCTAATGCCAGGCTAAATAAAGAGCAGAATACATGATGGAATGAGCTAATGCATATTTTATAATGTTTAAGACTGCTTCAAGCTTTAGGAATAATAATGAGGGGGCCACAAAAGGGCACAGGAATGAAATGATGACAGCTGTATGCATTTTTTTTATGACTGCATATCACTATGCATTGCTAATGTGACTGTGAATATACAGTATAGATTAAGTGCATGTCTACTTTCTCATTTAATGGAGGCATTATTTAATAATGAAGTTATGGAGCCCTATAAAGAATGAATGTTATTCCAGACATGCCAGTGTTTTAAAAATTTACATGAGTAAAAAAATACTTGGCAGAGCAAGCTGCGTGTATGTGTGGCCTAGAGAGCTTTTTGTAGCACAAGTCTTTACTGTTGGTGGCTACTTTATCTTCTCAAATTCTAAAATATGCAAAGTGAATCCTATGTATTTTTAGGAGAGGGAAGCTTATGGCCTTGGAGATGTTGCTGGTGTGTGGGTTGTATTGTTTTTCATATGGAATTGGGCTGGCTCTGCCTGGAGGAGAGAAGGTTCCCTGGAAACTTTATTGCAGCCTTTCAATACCTGAAGGGAGCTTATGAGAAAGACGGAGCCAGATTTTTATCAGGGCCTGTTGCAATAGGACAAGGGCTAATGGTTTTAAACAAAAAAGAGAGTAAATTTAGACTAGATATAAAGAAGAAGTTTTTAACAATGATAGTGATAAGACACTGGCACAGGTTGCCGAGAGAGGTAATTAATGCCCCATTCCTGGAAACACTCAACGCCGGGTTGGATTGAAAAGGCTCCAAGCAACTTGATCCACTTGAAGATGTCCCTGTTCGTTGCAGGGTAGTTGGACTAGATGTCCTTCAAAGTTCACTTCCAACCCGAAGTATTCTATGGTTCTGTGAAATAAGCAATGCAAAGCAAATTCCAATCTCTTTTACAAATGATGACAGCCCAGAGAAATTGTTAGCAACAGCAGCAAAGTGTAAAAGCACTTTCACAACTGTAGCACTTGGGCTTTTGAGTTAAGTGGCTGTGTGTAGTTGCTTATGTGGAGCTGTTGTAATCACATATACTATTAAAACAAACAAATACCATGCCTGCAAACCAAAATAAGATAAATTGATACGAACTCTCAGCCTAGCAGGGCACTTTATGCAACAGAGGTTGGTCAGCTGTTATATTTAGCATAAGTAGTGAATGCAGTGCCTCAGAGGAACTTGTGCGTGAATGTGGCCTTTTCCATGACAACCTCTGTACTTTTCTTGTGACTAATCAGATTGAGACTTGAGGGTTGGATCCAAGCCTCATGTACTTAGCTCTGCATCTTCAGGAGGTGTTCTGGTTAGCGATTCCATTGCCATCCTTATGCTTTGGTAGAGCACGGAAGATACAATTTACTTTATCCCTACTGACATGCTGTTTGATCCCTTGGCTCTGAAGGACTGTTCGTTTGCAGGAAACCCCCCACACACTGCACACACACAGAGTCTAACACATTCCATTCTCTACTCCCACAATAGTTTGAGAATGGTGAGGATGTAATGAGCCTTGGATTCGCAGTCCGTTATTTACTTCTACAATCAAAGTTGCACTCTAATCAACTTTAGGCTCTATTCTATATAGGGAGGGTCCTTCCTCCCTACCCATGCTCATCTGCGATGTCAGAAGTAGGAGCAGTATGTTGAGGGCCTGCTGGGTCCCTGTCCTCAGAAAAAGCTCCTTTTCCATTCTAAACTAGGACTTTGGTTATGGTGAGCATTTGTCGTAAGATCCATGTAAGATCCAGTGCTCTGGTGGCTGCTGTCTGGAGCCATCAGGGATAGTCACATCCAAGAACGTGCAGAACAGGCACTAAGCCTTTAGAAACCTTCCGCTGCTTGGCACGGGGTGTTGAGACCTTCTGCAAAGAGCTATGAGCTCAATAAGTGGGATGAGATTTACTTATGCAGTTAAATTAATTGTTTGAAGTAGAAGGGCCCCTGACTGAGTTTGACTCACCTGTGACACAAAAGAAGGATGATACAGTAACTGAGCAAGCAGTCAAATCAGAAACTTCAAACAGCTCATTCTTACCAAATGGAGCCTTATATTGTGACATGTAGTGACTTCAAAGAGAACTAGAAGTATTGTTTTAAGTGGTCATTTGAGAAGTAATTTGAATGTGTTCGCACCAGTGTGATGCTTTAGCCAGAAGGACAGTCTTGGTAGTTGGATGTTTTCACTGGAGAATCACTGAGCAAGGGTGGACAGTTGGTACTAACACTGAATACAGTGCCAGAAGGTCTGCTTCTGAAATCTCTTGATGCCACAGACTAGGAAAGCAGTTCCCAAGGAGAATGACCTGTATTCTGGGAAACGTGCCTTATAATGGGAGATTAAAGGAACTCCATTTAGCTTATTCAAAAGAAGGTTAAGAGGTGATTTAATCACTGCCTATGAGTATTTACTCAAGGAGAAGATATCTGATAGTTGAAGGCTCTTTAATCTGACAGAGAAGTATAATAAGATTTAGCAGTTGGCAGTTGAAGAATGAAAATTTCAAGAGAGGAATCCCCCACATTTATTTAACAGTGAGAGTAATTAACCATTAGATGTGCATTACTACTAGACTTAAAATTCGCCATCATGTGGAATCTAATAAAAATGAAATGGTTTTCTGAATAGGTTTTAGAGTAACTACTATTTTTTTTAACTTGCTGCAGGAATATTTGGGTAGAAATGTCTGTTCCTCAGTAGCTCAACACATCACAATTTAAGTGTCTGTTTCATCTTGTAATTAACTAATGCTTTACTCCAGCTTAAAAACATGGGTTAGTGTTTCATAAATTTCTAATAATTCTTGGAAATTTTTTCTGCACTGGTGGAAACAGAAGTCTCAAATCATACTGAGGGATCATAAGATGAGTAGTCTGAGAGGTGTTAAATTAACTGAATTCTTTTTACCTCTGCTTTTATTTCCTTCTATTTTCACTCTCTGCAGGAAAGGGAAAGAATTCAATATCAGTGTTTGAAATCTGATAGCAGATAAAGGCACAGATGGGGGACAGTCACACAGGAAAAATGTATTTATGTTAATATTTTCACTGAGTGATATGTGCTAAAAGCACTATAGTGCTGGGAGGGAATGTGAAGGTATAATGAAGTCTGCTTGTTTTATTAGGATGTTCATATTTTTCTTTTTTATCCTTTCACAGAAGCAAATCCAGAGAAATTCAACAGCCGATTTAGAAATAAAATGTTTTATGCAGGGGTGAGTTGTGATTTGTCTTACAGAACGATGCTAACTTAGTTGCTTGAATGTTCTTTTAAGTATTCCCCCCCCCCCCCACTTTCTCACATTAGGAGCTCAGACCAGTTCATTTTACCCATTGCAATTTCAAGTGCACACACACAGGTGTCTGTTGGAAAGTGCCTGAAGTACAGGTGTTATACAGAGCTGAGCAGGTGAGAGAAATGCCACTCCTTTGGACACAGTACTGGTCATATCTTGGTCCCCCTGCTTCTGGCTCATAAGCTTCTCAAGAAATTGCTCCTCTTCTTTCAGGGTTTGGGAAGCACATGGATAGTGACTTTCCTAGAGGAATTCCCAAAGTTTTGGCCTGTATCTTTGTAGCTTTGAGGAACAGTCTTGGATGTAGGGTCATGGGGAGCAGAGAGCACAGATCAGGTATCTGGAGTGATTAATTTTCATGTGTGAATATGCAAATAGAATTAACCAATTCTGCATTCAGGAGGTACATGGACAAGATTTTATTCTAAAGTAATTAAGAGAGAAACACTAGTTTGATAATGTATGACATATAATGTATTTCTGGATGATGACTCCCACTTTACCCATGTACCTTAAACATGGAAACAAGCAAGAATTTGCACTTAAATCCTTGGATGCCCAAGGACTTTTTTCATTTAACCTCTGAAAGGGAGAAGTACCATAAATAAAAAAATAAAATAATCACATCTTCTATGAGAATAAGTTTGACAAAAGAATGGCATTTTGGTAATGTGCTGGGATAAGAAAAGAGAGGAACTGCTGCTGACAATTCCTGCACTTATTTCTGTTGCAGGCAGCCTTTACAGACTTTCTGCAAAGAAGCTCAAGAGATTTATCCAAGCATGTTAAAGTTGTGGTAAGTAGAGGAAATCATAGTGTCATAGTATTGTGGGAAGGGGGTGGGTGTGGGAGGTTGGAGAGAGAGTGAGGTGAGAGTTTAATGGCTCTGTTACTTTTCAGTTTTGAGCATGACATTTGCAACACATTCCAAGGAAAGTCTTGGGAAAGTTGTTACAAAGCAGCAACACTTCTCTTGTCTGTGGCTCCATTCAGCAATTTCTCTGTGCTCTGTCACTTTGGCTTTGTAGTGTGATGGTACAGACCTGACTCCAAAGATCCAGGAGCTGAAGTTCCAGTGTATAGTGTTTTTAAACATACCCAGGTAAGCTCAAGACAAATGCTTGAAGTTATAAAACAAAAATAATAATAATTTTTAAAAGAGATCTACCAGTTGTCCTAGATTGGGTGAATGTGCTGGAAGCATATTGCCACTGGACTACCTTGTTGAGAGTTAGGTGCTTATAATACTGTTAATTAGCAATACAAAATGGCATCAGAGTGCAGGGAAACCATCCTTCAAAAAGTTGAATATTCTGATGTGGTACAAATGCTTAAGAGACTCACTTTCAAAAGTTGTGCACCTAACCTGCAAACAAGATAGTAAGGAAAGACATGAATGTCTAGTCTTTTGCTTAATTAGAACCAAAGTGTGAAAGGAAGGAGGGAGGAGAGGGCAGAAGTGGAGGGAAGGATCAATATTTTTCCCGTAGAACACCAAACTGTTGAAAGAAGTGCTGGTTTTTAACATGTTACAAGGTGTCAACTAATAAAAATACGGCTGTATTCTTAAAAGTTGTCAATCTCCTGCTTTCTAGAACAGTAGTCTCTAAACTTATTTTGATTGTGCAACCCTATCAGTAAAAATCTTTTGATAACCACGCCAATATGTAAATATGTATATTTATTTCTAAATTATAAACATGTACCACTATAATAATATTACACACAATATTAAGCAAACGTAAATAATAAATTAAGAAAGGATATCATAAAAATGAAATAAACTTACTTTAATATTTGTTTTCTTATTTATTAAAAGTATAAGCAACTCTTTTCTTCACACACACTAATTTCTTGTCAACTGTGGATTTTTCTTGCATACACCCTGTGGTGTGTGCACCCCACTTTGGAGACCACTGCTTTAGACAAGCTACCACTTTGCTCCACATGCAGTCCCAAGCACTCGATCTTTTGCGTCCTGCACTGCCTTCATTGCAAGCTTCTCCTTGGCATCACCTCTCCAAAGTTCCCCCTTCTATCACTCTCAGATCACTTCTACATCCATTCTTTAATGGTAGAAAAGGCAGATATCACAGCTGTATCTGTCCTGCTTCTTATTCTCCCTGCTACCTCTAGCTATGCAATGTTTGGCATTCCTTGTGCTGTTAGAACTGCTGAGCTAGCAGGGAGAGAGGAAATGGAGCTCCAAGGCTGGAGTTGCTGCTGCAGCCCCATACCTGCCTAGCATAGGGGCAAAACAGCTTTATGTCTCAACAGGTCATCTGCAGGAATCAAAGCAAATAGGGAGAACAAAGTGCTGCTGCTCTGTTACCTGTTTCCTGGTGTTTCCCCCTTTTCCTCTCACAGAGGAACCCGATAAAGATTATGGTGGATACATCTGTGGATGTTGTATCAGCTTGGAAAGAAGCAGAACAGGCTAATAGGCTACTAGTCAGGACCCCCAGGGCCAACTGCTTTCTCAAACTTGCTTTCCAAACTTCTTTCTGTAGGTATTGTGCTGGCACAATGCCCTGGGGGAACCCTGGAGATCACAGAGACTTTGAGCCCCAGCGCCACGACGATGGCTACATTGAGGTCATTGGGTTCACCATGGCCTCTCTGGTGAGTGCATTGCAGGTGCTCCCCTGCCTGCAGGAGCTGCCAGACTTGGTGAACTCTGTGGGCAGCATGACAGAGCGCAGAGCTGTCCTTGTAACTGAAGACAAGCGTGTTTCCATGTAGTCAGCTAAGGCCAAAGTCTGCGCTGCTCTGTTAAACGACAGAGTCAAGCTGTAGTTTTCTAATAAAAGAGGTGTTATTTAATAATAAAAGTGTATTCTTTGCAAAATAGGGCTAATTTGCATGTGCAACGCTCCCAACCTAAATGGCAAGATTATTACAGTAACAACACTACAATAAGAACAGCATGCAGACATGGTTTTACTGTGGGAATGTTCTATGATGAAATAAATACTTCTTTTTCCTTTTAAATTTTGTATATTTCAATATATGGCATAAAAATCCTTTTTTTAAAATAACTGGCTGTTGAAAATAAATATGAACTGTTATATAAAATTATATGCACATACAGTTTCCAAATGCCTACTAAAAGTCCTGTGAAACTTCTCTAATAGCTGTGGAAAACTTATTAATATTTCTGGCATGAATGTTATCTCTCCTTTTTATTCGCTAGGGAAAGGAAATTCGGCCAACAATTTAAATTTTTCAATGCACTTTCTGTCAATGCTGTCTTTAAAGTGAACTAAAACAATTACCACAAAAGCAATCTCACTGTCCAATACCCTGATGCCCTGCTTATCACAGTGGTCAAAAACAGTGATACAGTGACATAATCTCTTCAGAGGCTGATTAAATGCAGTAAGAGAGTTGGTAGTTAACCCTGTGCTAGCACTAGTCTACCCAGGGCACTGCAGCTTGAAATTTGATGTGGCCAGCAGAAGGCCCATATCTGGGCTTCCTGGCAGGCTTTTATATATCACACTTAAGTCCGTAACTTTAGGCCTCTGTTGCTGCTACGTCTTGTGTGAATGAGGTTAAAACTAGGTTTTCACTAAACTCACACACTTTTTGTGTGATCTGCCCCCAGTGCATATCACTTTCAGTGAATACCCATGACCATGGTGTTTACTTCCTCAGAGAGAAATCCTGGTAAATCTAATATTCAAAGTAAGCAAAAGTAAAAGGCAGTCTTGATCAACAATCATTTCTCTAAAAGTCTGTCTGGATTAAGGATTCTTTTTTGGCCTTTGTTTTTTTGATGGGTCAAGTGGATTAGGGAAATAACCTAGTGTAAGAAAAATTTTGTTTGTTAGCCTAATAGATATTGTGGAGTAAACCTGAAGAATGTTTTTGAAAATTCTATTTAGCATATACCAACTGGCAGTTTTCAGCTGGAAGAGTTTTTGGGTTTGCCATTAATGTGACTCTAGCCAGTCAAAGTGGCGAGAGTCATCTCAGAAGCTACCAACAATTTCAGCTGGGGCTTAATTTGAGAAGTGGGGCCCCTTGAGCTGCTGTTTCTCTTTAAAGGAAGCCTAGGGTCTACAGTTTTACTTTGGTTGTGATGCTGAGGAACCTCTGTAATCGTAGACTGTATTGATATAATCCTAGTTTGCTCTGTATATCCTTCGGATATGCTTGCTCATACCTAAGAAGGTCTGTGAAAACAAGGGAGAGAATTGCTTTATAAGAACTATTATTGTATTATTGATCATAATTTCAGTTGATCCATAATATTAAGTGCACAGAGCAGAGTTAGGGTCTTGACTTGTGTTTGGGCTGTTCTCTATTAGTACTGCATTAATATAAGATTTTTTTTCTGCATCTGATACATGAGAATTAATAGTCACATAGTAGTCATACCATTAAAAAAATACATTTCTGCCCAAATATATCTTCCCAGAACTTGAAGGATCTGCTCATTGTCTTCCTTGCTTAATTTCTTTGAAATGAATTCTTAAACATGGTATTTAATTGTTTTTAAAAAGGTCCTTCTACTTGCTCTTTTCAGCCTGTCTAATGTTGAAGTTGACTTGCTGTGTAAGCTTTCATAATAAGGATTTTAAATTGCTCTAATTCATATTAAGGACTATTCTGTTCAGGAAGGGAAAATAATTTTTCTGTATCGCAAATGTATCTAATTAGGGTTGTTGTTTTAAAAAGCAAATAATTATTAGCATTACTGTTAGTGTAAAAACAAACCAACCAAAACAAATTGAAACCTTTAAGAATGAAAGAATGAACACAAGTATTCATTTGTGCATTCACGTGTGTGCACATATAGGTGATGAGACAGGCACTGCATGTGTTTAGATATCTGCCTGTTGCCCACCATTTTTCTTTACGAAATTTCAAATACTGCTTTGCAATTTTTGGGTGAATCATTGTGCTCTTTTAGCATGTCTTAGGCATGGAGCACTGCATAATGGATGCTACCATCAAAACTGCATTTTGGATTTGTTAACTGCCTGAACTACCTGTTATGAGGTGTCTTTTCTCTCTCTTTCCTTCTTGGTTTTTATTTGGGTTTTGTTTGTTTGTTTATTTTCTTCCAGGCTGCTCTCCAGGTGGGTGGTCATGGAGAGAGGTTGCACCAGTGCCGTGAGGTGACACTTTTAACATACAAGTCTATCCCCATGCAAGTGGATGGAGAACCATGTCGATTGGCCCCCTCACTCATTCGGATCTCCTTAAGGAACCAAGCCAACATGGTGCAGAAGAGCAAGAGGAGAACGTCTATGCCTTTGCTGAATGAGTGAGTTGGATACATGCATGTCCTAATGGGAGGAGCCCGTTTGGGGCAGCATATTTGGTGATGGATTTTGCATGTACTGGACTTGCAGAGCATTTGAAAAATAAATTAAAAAAAAAAATCACATCTTCTGAACTTCCTTTTTGCTGTATTGTGAATACTTACCTGCCTTTCTTTTACTCCTTATCTTCTGGGTTACCCTCTGTCTTGCTTTTAGACTGGTGCTGTGCCTTTCTGTTATTTATTTAGAGAGGTTTGTGCAGGCTCAGCGTTGTGCCTCTTGGCTTCTGACAGTTCTGCATATGTATGCCATTGCTCTTGAAGTTATTTTGATTTATTTTCTCAACTTTATTGATCTGCTTTTTAAGCTTCATTGTAGACCCTGTAAGAAATTACCACAATCAAGAATTACTCAGGATATTTTGCAGTCTCTGTTGTGGGACCATACTGCCTGGCACTGTTTATGGAGAAAGACCTGAAGGTCCAAGAAGGACTGTTTGTACTTTGTAGGAACCCTTCTTCACTATAGAAACCCAAATGAGAAATGAGCATTGTAAAGATAAATAGAGAAAGGCTAAGAAAACTGGAAATGAGGGATATGTGAAGAGGAAAGCACATAACTAACATTCTTTTAGTGATTAAAATTTATTCATAAGCACTGCAGAAAAATTTTTAATAAAAGAAACCTAAATATTAAAATTTTGACCTGTGAAAATGGCCATCCAATAAAATAATTTAGATTATTTTGTAGAGGTTATTATTGTACTTCTTGTGTAGGTCTTTACTGCTGCTATAATGAGTGACATTGTAAGTGCCTTTGCTGTTTTTCATCAATTATACGAAAGGTGAAGCAAAGCAGACTGACCTGTATACAAAGAAACTGAGCTAAAGGCCTAAAGTTATCAAAGATCCACATTTAATTTGGGCAACTGTGCAGTGAGGCCTTAATTTTTCTGAGGAGGTGGATGTGGAATTTTGCTGTTACAGTTGTAGTGGTGAGGCAAGTTTTATGACTTTTCACTAGACTAACTCATATAACTTGAAAAAAAAGACAAGGTCTGAGGCATACCTTTTCTCTTCAGGTATCTGAAAAGTAACCTCTCTCTTTCAGTTGTATATCTAGTGAAAGCTGCTGCTTTACTTTAAACTTTGACTCCTGTCCTGTAGAATTTTTTGTCATCCCCTGGTTGTCAATCTGTTCATGTAATCAAAGGCTCCCTGGTTACCTTCAACATGCTCCTATTCAATTTAGCACTCTGCTCCCTTACTGAGACTAATGCTTTAAGTTTCAGTAGAAGCCCATCTTTCTAACATGCAACTTGTATTTGCCTGCAAAATACATAAGGTATACTCATCTTTCTTAAGCAGTGAAGAACAGCAGAATCTTGCCTGTGGGCAGCAGTGCCCGATTTCACCCAACCACCCCTCTTTGATCACTTGTGAAAGGTAGAATCGAGCAGAGGGCAGTCCTGGGGCATCTTTTTTCTGCACTGAGGGAGACTAATGCAAATGTAAAAAGAAAATTCTTGGTGTTTTGATCTGCTAATTAGCACAGTTAGGTTTGGATTTTGAGACTTGAATTTCAGCTATGATAAGGAAATACAGATCTGTGATATATGCCAGTTGTCAAAGGGATATTCTTTGTGGTTTAGCTTGATTTAAATGTACTACTGTACACTAAATGGCTGTCAGAGTTCTTTAATTTGGCTGAGGTATTTTTCTGCAGACCTGTGTCTTGGGAAAATACACGTGATTTGACAGGAACTCTAGTCTCAGATTCACATATCAGAAATGGTGTGTGTATATATTTACATATATATCTGTGTGTTTGTGTATGTATTTTGCTCTCAAGTGTTGAAGGGGAAGGAGAGAGGAGTTGAATCTCCTGGCATGATAAAAAGTGAATAGAATGCTGAAGATTAAAGTCTAGAAAGCATATTAGTGTTGTAAGAAGTTCATACAATATGATGCTGATTTGCAGTATTGCTCAAGAGGGAAAATTTTCAATTAAATATGTTTATCTACTTTTCTTAACTTGATATCTGGGATACTTCTCCTTGTTCCATTGAAATCTCCCAGAAAGACTTATATTTGATTGAACATGATAGACTGTTCTTTTATGACTATCATTTGAATGTTAGGTGTCTGAGATAAGTAAGTGAGTCTAGAGCTATTCCTAATTGTTAGACAGCTGTTCTTGAGCTCCTTGCCAGGAAAGCAATTAGAAAATTATTTTGGGTCACAGTAATGCGGAGTTACTATTATTGCCAGCTTTGATATTATTGATAGTTAAGAAGAGCAGTGGTGGGAATGCTCTTTGGAGTTTTAGCTCATCTAATGTCATAAGTAGAGAAAGACTTAATTTGAAGAAGTCTTACACTTTTTTTTTTTTTATCCTATTCTCTTTTGTTCTGGAGGTTTGGAGTTTTTTCTTAAAAACTTGGAGTTTCCCTAAAAATCTTTCTGGCTAAGTTCTCATTCCTGTTCTCCACTGTTAATCATGGTAACATGTGAAAGAGACAAGATGTAGCTTGGTTTTCTGTGATCAAACCAAGGCTGTGATTGGTACTTGTGAGCTATACCAAAAATTGTAGGGAATAAGAAGAGAAACTGTGGTTCAGTTTTTTCAGAAATAATTTTCTGAATTAATACTTTCTGAATCTCAAAGCGTCATGTTTTGTTTTCACTGACTTTTAGTTTAGGTTGAGGAAGAATATCCTGCATAATGGAAGAGAAAGGAGAGGGAAGAGCTTATAGATAAAACATGTTTCATACATTTGAGAGAAAGAAAGGGACTATTTGAGTGTAAACACTAAAGGCGAGTTAATATTGAGAGTCACTATACGTAAAATGCGTGTTTCCCTAAGGTACGTGAAAGAAGAATGGAAAAAACAATTTGTCCTTGCGGATACAAAATCTTCAGTAAGGGTATTTCTTTATCTTAAACAGTAACTGAAGATGGTCAACTTTTGAAGGCAATTCCATCCATTCAGATCTCGGCTTTAATGTTTGTTCCCATTTCTGGACCTGCTTCCAAAGGCTGTTGCCTTGAAATTTTTCAGTGCCTGTGGAAGAAATTCTGGGGCCCTTCATCTTTCTTGTATAGTCATGTGCCTAGCTTGTTGTTGGTCCTCCTCACTCGTGTCTTTGGAAGGCTCCCGTGTGCCATGTAGCAGTGATTTTCTCCATTTGCATGTCTTCTGTTGCTCTTGGCTTTCTGGTGTGAACTCAGAGCTCTGCATGTCTCTTCATTCAACTTTTATGTGACACATTCCTTTTGTTTCTGTTTAAATGTTGTATGTCTTTTTCTTTCTTCTGTTCGACTCCTCTCTCTCTCTCTCTCTCTGTCTCTTCCCTGCCTTTTTTCTTGTCTGTCCACACTGTGTGCTGTTTTTCTCCTGGCCACTCATTTCCTGCTGCCTTATAGTATCCATAAAGTGCAGTCTGCTGACCTGAGGAGAGTCTCAGCTCCCCCTGATTCCTTCACTGTGTGAGTATCCGGCTTTTTTCTATTTTAAAGTTCTATAGTTTTTTGTTGTTACCCTGTGTCATTCAACCAGGAGATGGGGCACCAAAATCCAGTGACAAATGGGAAGAGTGAGCTCAGGTGTCAGCATGACAGGCACAGGATCTTGCCAGCAAGGGCACAGTTCCACAGTACCCAAGTAAGGTGAACAGGACGTGTCTGATGATGGTGACCAGGTTCAGCCATTAGTCCAACTCACCAGAAATCCATAACAACAGGCAGGTCTGAAGTTTAAGTGCCAGGCACCATCCCTGGAAACAGTTGAGTTTAGAGCTTTTCCATCCAACACAGGAGGTTTTCTCTGAACATGATGAAAAATAATTTTTGCTGTAAAGTTGACAGAGCACTGGCACAGATTGCCAAGAAAGGTTGTGGAATCTCCATCCTTAGAGGTATGCAAAACCTGCCTGGACATGGTCATGGGCAGCCTGCTCTTGGTGGCCCTGCTTGAGCATGGGTTTCATCAGATGACCTCCAGAGGTCTCTTCCAGCTTCAACCATTCTGTGGTCCTGTGAAATTTCAGAAAGCTGCAAGTTCCTCATTGTTATCTTGTAAACAAGGAAAGATTTCCAATTTGGTGTGCCTTTTCCCGGGATCATATTTACTGTACTCTGCTGAGGAGCATAACGTAATAAAACCAACTATGTCTCACCAATTCAGTATCTAAACAAACCTCTGGAAAAAAGTTGAGATAACCCTTATTGCTTACACAGAACGTTAAGCTGGGGGTCTGGGAGAACAGGTATTGTCTCCAGGCTGAGGGATATCCCTTTGAAAATGACCTCCAAATTTTGATACTCTTCATTTGAATGTCTTATTTGAAATCAGCTGTCAGGATAAAGCAGGGAGAGAGAGACTTGTGAGCCCCAAATTAATTTGGAAGTCAAAGATGTACTATATCTTAAAATCTGTAAAAATAGATGAAACATACAGCTGCACTGTGGCTGCCAATTAATGTGTCTGGCAAATTAAAATAAGAACCCATGAGGTAGCAGGTAAATTTGCTTTGAATTATGATGGCTTTGAGATTCAAATATTCCTTTGTTTCTGTGTTGAACAGCATAGAATGAATCTGAGTTCCTGTTAGTACTGAACAGCAGGGCAGATTCTGCTGAGACCTGGAGGTGGATATACCTGTCTTAGATAAATTTCAGGATTTCTGCAGCAAGAGATGCATGGGAATTTGAGCAGCCAAAATTATTAGGTACATATGGTCTTTGTTCCAGAGACAGTAGAAGTGTAGTGTGATCCTTTGTAAATGTTTATACAAGGTGCATAACAAAATACAAATGTTGTATTTTTAGTTGAGAGTCTTTTAAAAGGAAGGTAAAGACCTGCATTTTCCAGCTGGATATTCAAAAATGAGGAGATGCACATTTGTGTTGTGTAGTTGACGTAAAGAAACACTGAAAAAAAATTACCATTTAAAAATAAAACATAATTGACTTGCACAGCTCCTGTAGTCCTTTTACAAGT